TCCTGATGAAAGCAGTCATTTTAAAATTGAGTCAGGAATGATGGGGTCTCCAAAAACATAATGGCCCAAATTCACAAAGGAGGTTTAAATTTAACCCATGGTTTAAACCCTCATTTACATAACCCATCGTCTAAAATTAGTGCAAAATAAGCATACCTTGCCTTGGGCGCATCTAATATTGGACATCTGACTGAATTGCGCTTATTTTGCGCTAATTTTAGACCATTTGATATATTTAAACCTCCTTTGTGAATTCGGGCCAATAAGTACAATTTATCTTACTTTTCAAACATAAAAGTTGAAACCTAAATGAGGTTTGTTGAAAAAAAGTAGAAAAAAGACAAGTATTAATACTGTTTGCGCTAAGATACAGTTACTATCATTATTAAGACCTGAATGTTTAAAAATCTTTGATTTTAACCCACTTCAAGGATGATGTGAACAGTGACACCTATTGAGAACATTTTTTATAACTACATGAATACAAGATGAATTGACTACATACCTGATCCCACCAAGCTAAGAAGGATAGATCAACAAACTCTTCAAGGTAGGTAGCCTTTAACCTCCTCCCTGCTTCACTTACGTAAGCAAAGCGATAGACGTACATGGCAAAGTATGTGATGGAGACTAGTATGAGAGACATCTGTTCGGTAAAATGAAAAAGAAGAAGAAATGAGGAATTCACCATCAAATTAAATCAAATGTATAAAAAAGCATGATGCAATACGCTTTTTGAAAATTATTTATACTACACAACAAGACACTTTCACGAACGTGACACTTTTGAGAGTGATTCAGACGTGCAAAAAGTTTTTGCCCAAAAAACAAACACAAAAGTCGGCACAACATGACAATTTTTAAACGTGAAAATCGCTTTGATACCACAAATTTGAAAAAATGTAAAGACATGACTCCTTTTGGTTCAACTTATATAAATAGGCCATATAATTATATATTATAAGAGCAGGTCATGACCAAATTGAATAATTATAATAACAATTGTACAAATTTGAACACATACAATGCTTACATAAATCAATGAAATATATTTACACATACATTACAGTGAAATAGGAAACTAATCTCCTAAAGAAAAAGCATTTTCAGCTTATACAAGACACCAAGAAAGGAAAGAGGGACGTAACATACCTCTACCCATGACCACGCACTGCGGAAGTACGCTCTTCCCTGCTTAACAACTTTCACAATCTCTTGCTTAGAGATCAGAGCCACCAGCAGGACAAACAGAAGCTGTGAAAACATGAATGAGAACAGAACTTGTAATACATGTTTTATTTGGTGATGGTGATGGTGGTTATTTTACCCGACTGCTAAGAAAGCATAAATGCTTGTAAGTAAGGAACTCAATCGGAACGACTTGAGTTTCTACTTACCTTATCCGGTTGGCTCCCCCTGAATTATTCTTCGAAAAGAAGGATGATTTTGCCTGTGAACATGTCACAGCTCTCCCAGCCATTATCCAGATAATAGCGAAGTAGGTCAGTTTCTATTAGGCAAAATTTATCCCTTGTCGGCCATTAACAGGATAACGGCTTCTAATAGAAATGCGCTGATTGACATACCGGTACCTTTTTTACAGGGAGTATCATAATCATTTAACGTCCCTTTTTCCCACACTGTAGGGATTGATGTTTCATTTCCCCCAGAATGGCCCTTCTCCTAGCCTTTTGGTCTTCAGCTTCAGCCTTGACGAGGCCAGATACTCTCAAGTCTTCTCCTAAAGTCCATTACTCTCGGAAGCCTAACCACATGGCCAATGCCATCTTAGTCTACGCACGACTTTCGGAATTCTGTCCATCTTCCCAAAGATTAAATAAACATTTGATCCCCAGAAAATTGTTTTAAATCCCTTTTTTTAAACCAAAGTAGAATCCATCTACAGCTTGTACATGTATGGGAGGAGCTGCAGCAGAAATCAATAATTTTTGATTGAAAACACTTTGAGATAACATAAGAGGACATTTCTTGAGGACACTTTTGAAGAAAAAAAACAAGACAATATTTAAAATCATATTGGTACCTCCAACCATTTTTACAATAGTTATACACTTGTAATCATAACACTTTTTATTATTTCTTGAAGATCACTAGAAAGTGTTTTATCCTACCTCGCATGCCATAATGAAATAGTCATAGGGTCTCTCATAGCGGTACAGTTGGACTGACTCAACCTTGGGCATTGGATACACAGCACCAGAACCGGGTATCTCAGCAACAAATGCTACGGCACTGGAGAAAACATTAACACCAAAAAATAATGTATTTAATATAAAAAAACATGTTAACACATTCATGTTAACATTTAATACCTTAAAATGATATAGTGTACTTCTGGCTGTATGCTGTATCTTAAAATCTCATTATTGTCATTATAAATGAATACTCTCGTTAATTCATAAGATTATTATCAGGAATACATAAACAATGGGCAAATACCAGATGGACAGAACTTAAAATCCATTATTTTTTAGCCGAAACATTACATAATGACTTAGAGTCAAGAGCTCTGCTCTAGGTTTCAAGTCTCAGGGTCCTAGATCCTGTGTGTAAAGTATTGTTCTTACCTAAAATGGTTTTAAGGGGAATTGAAATGAGTAAACTCTTTGAGTACAGCTCTGGTCTGTGCATCGATCCAAGAGCTACTACTGGATATTCGCCCAACTCTATAAATAGATTTGTTACTACAAAGATGCAGATTTTTTTCAGTGCATAATGCTATTATTCTCACCTGAAGAGATTGTAAGGGGCATTGTAGAGGGTGAACTCCAAGATGACAGCTCTGGTCTGCGCATCGATCCAGGAGTTATTACGTAGATGCCACAGAAGACTTTCAGCATCATCCCTGTATTCACATGATAAACAAAACATGAGTGAAGCCTTGTTTTCGAAATCATAACTAAACTAAAAAGAAAATATGTTCACTTATCATTCAAATGCAAAACATGTACCTTAAGCCCTACATGATACACTTAACTACCTAAACATTCAGCCACAGCTTTATATTTCTATAAATACATGTCATCTCGATCTCCTTTTAATTTAAAAGTTAGAACGTTCTTACATGTACACTGGACGAGGCTTACATTTTGTATTCATTTCTGTAAAGTGCATAGACATGCAATTATGCCCATGTATTATGCGCAATACAAAAGCGCTTAAATATATTATTATAGCATAAGCAACAGTTACACTTTCATGTATAAAACATTAAGCTACGTAAACCGTTGTAACTAATTCATTTTAAAAAAGCAGTATCACGTGGTCAAATTTTCTTACCTCCTACTCTTTGCTTAGAAAAAAATTGAATAAATATCAAATGCAACCTGACTTTACGCTACATGAACCAACGATAGCATAATAGTGGGAAGTTTAACATCACAGGTAAAATAAAACTAACCTAGTATTGTTGAAATCCACAGCATACCCATCCCCTTCGTAAGTGGTGAACATGCCCCACTTGCAGTAGCGCAGGAGCTGATGGGCGGTACGGAACACCCACTTGTCCTCGGGACCGTAGGGCTCTCGACTGAGGGTCTTACTGGTGTAGCCCCCCTGACAGTCCCCTATGATGGGGCGCAGGACAGGGGGTACGGTGCAGGTGTGTGGCCTGACTCGTAGCTGCCTCAAGGAAGGCTTGCCCAAGAGGATGCTCTCTCCGGTGATCATCACCGACCCCTGCAGCAATGGAGAGACACGTTAGGACAATCAGAAATGGTATTCTTTTATCCCAAAGAATATCATGCATTGAAATATATGTGTATTGTACATTATTGCCCATGAGGATACTCTCTCCAGTGATCATCACTGACCCATGCAGCAATGGAGAGCCACGTTAGGACAATCAGAAATTGTATTCGTTTATCCCAAAGAATAGTAGTAGTAGTGACGGTTATTTAACCTGACTACTAAGAAAGCATAAATGCTTGTTAGTAAGCAACCAGAGGACCGACGGCTTTAGGTCCTCTCCGAAAGACCTGGTAATGAGGATTAATGCCTTACCAAAGGGCATTAGCACATCGCCTTGGTTTCGAACCCGGGTCAAAAGGATAATGAGATCACTGCTCTACCGACTGAGCTATCGCGCCTCCTTCACATATCATGTATTGAGATCTACGTTCTGGCAGTTGTTACAATTGCCTGACCAATAGCTGCTTTAGAGAAGGCCTCCAAGAGGATACTCTCTCCGGTGATCATCACCGACCCCTGCAGCAATGGAGAGGCACGTCAGGAGGACAATCAGAAATGGTATTCCCTTATCCCAAAGTATAATGTGTTTTGAGATCTATGTGTATTTTACATTATAGCAGTTGTTACAATTGCCTGACCAATAACTGCTTCAGAGAAGGCCTCCAAGAGGATACTCTCTCCGGTGATCATCACTGACCCCTGTAGCAATGGAGGGACATGTAAGGAGGACTATCAGAAATGGTATTCTTTTATCCCCAAGTATATTTTATATTAAGATCTATGTGTATCATACATTATGGTAGTTATTACAATTGCCTGCCCAATAAATGCTTCAGAGAAGGCCTGCCCAACAGAATATTAGGGACTTTTAGATTTGCATGAAGACAATGTGGATTGCTACGATCGACGTCCTTTTAATGCACTGCCTTGAATGGACGTCACACGTATCAGTCCATGCAAATCTAAAAGTCCCTACTCTCTCCAGTGATCATCACTGACCCCTGCATCAATGGAGAGACAAGTTAGGAGGACAATCAGAAATGGTATTATTTTATCTACAGGTATATAGTTTGATAAGAAGTATGGTACATGTACAAGTATAATTCACTAAGGCAATAAAGAAACACAAGTAATGAAATGGTGTGGCACATATTAGTCAAAACATATTCTTTCACATGATTGGTAATGAGAGCTTCCATTTCATTTTTTGAGAGGGGGGCGTTTCCAAAACTGGTCTATACCTTTAATTAAATTCTGTGCCTTAAGAACATTTTAGTGGCCTTCTAGCACATACTGACGGTCATTACACACATTACAACCTAAACTAAAATAAGTGTTAGTACAAAAAACAACAGAACCATGCTAGAGCATTTCAACATGTAAATTATTCCTGATTGAGGATTCACTAAGCAGGTACATCTTCCGCTCTTACCGCATTTTCTGCAATGGGATCACCATTGTACCATCTCTGCCAATAGAGGGTGTCTACCATGTCCTCTTGGAGCCAGTGCCATAGATCATCGACGGTCGTCACGTTGGTGAAGGGATGGGTAGTCCTGGGTAATGGGAGAGAACGGTCAAGTCATTTTCAAATGAGTCTCTTTGATACATCATTCATTCCTGTGATTATTTAATAGCCAGAGATGAATATGGCTGAGGTCTGTGGAACATTTGTGTTATATTCCTTCTCTATCTCATTTTTCATCTTTCTTTTTCTTCTTGCTATATTTCTGTTTTAAAGTGATGCTAACATATATAGTCAGGTCTGTCAATCTAACATTAACAACTTTATATCATTTTACCTCTACTACCAAGTTTACAAATATATGTCACACATAGGATTTCATGCCACAAGTTTATTATGATTATTGTTCCTTTACTATTGTATCATTGTTCGATCTTATGCAAACGATGTTCAATTATTCAAAATGTGCCTGTCAAAATAATGAACCAATTTCCAGTTTAAACATTCTCAATGAAGAAATTTTACATTTACCATCAACCTGTTGACTACTAAACACAAGATAACATTGGCTGGTCCTTTGGCAAAACGAATGTTATACCAAAATCAAATTGTATGCCAAAGAGCCTAAAACTTTTGATAGACTAAATTGTCTAAGGCACTTTGAGGGTTAAAGAAACTTACTTGAGAAAGATCTGATTGACCGAGTTGTTGAGGGGACCATGTAGGGATGTCTCCTTGCCGTATGCCATCCACAGTACACAGAAGATCAGAATAAGAAACAGGATCACATCCCTGAAGAGAAAATAAGATGTACCATCTCTTAAAACCTTATCTTGAATTCTGATGACATTGCCTGTTATTAAAATCTTGAATCGGCATGTGGTAAAGTTATTTAAATGTATAGTACATGTCTATGCTCCATGGACAATTTTTTTTCAATCACTGAAATAGAAATAGTGTTAATCATTTTCATTCTCTCCACCATTAAAATCCCTAAATTTGAACCTGGACTAAAAATTATCATTGAACTTTAACCCCCTTAAAATATCTATAGAGAAGCTGTAGTGCAAACTCAATCTATCTGTCATGGAAAATGAACCATAGAGATGATTGGTCTGTGGACTATCTCTAACATAAGTAACTCCCTTACTCCCAACCCTAGAATTAACACAATTCTTGATTTTCAACTAAAATAAGACCCTGATGCAACCCTACCTATCTTTAACGAAATGAAGTAAAGGTCTCAAAAGCAAGGGCTCTACAATGGCAGTCCTTCTTTCACAAATATTTTTGTCATAAAGTTTGATGAAATATGATAACTTGACAATTTATCCTTTCTGTTTTTTTTTTGTTCATTGTTATGTGTATTTGATTTGTTATGATTTGCTGTCAGAAAGTACTTTTTAGAACATTATGTGCGTTATATTACCCCAAAATTATTAATTTTATATGGAATGTAGAAGACAAAAACAAATTAAATCAAAATCAAATTATCTGTTGAGAGCCGAAGGATGTTAACTCACATTCTGTAACACAGTCAACGCTCTTCTGGCTCTCTATAAACGATCTTGTATGTTTGGAGCCAGAAGGGCGTTAACTCTATGTAAAACTCTATGACTTAACACCCTTCTGGATGTAAACAGACAATACATTGGATTACCACTTCATCCACGATGCAACCATGGAGAAGAACTTACCTGAGGATGGCGTACATATGTTTCTCCTTCAACATCTTCTCCTTGGCTTTCTGGAGTTCCTTGGGCTGAGGTGGGCGGGCAAATCTCAGATATCTTGACCGCTGACGAGCTGCAATCGCCTGAAACATTATCATATGTATTGGAAGAAATAGTTAAAATGCAATGCCAGTAATATGATTACAGATTTGCTAATTGGATACTTTTTGATGAAGAAAAGTTTCCTTTTGTGAACCGAGTTATCTCTAAGTGTCTTAAACTTGTATCCTTTCATTTGTTACATCAAAATCTGCTCAGGAAAGTCTTATGATCCATTCCATGTCCCCAAAAGTTAGAAATTTTCATTATCTTCTCTTTTCAATAACAGTTTCAATATTTCTTTCTCTATTTTCTCCTTGCATTATTTTCCTTTGCTTCATTTCATAATTATACAAAAAAAACACGCATAACGATGTATAAATATTGCAAAATCGTTATAGCCCCTTATGAAATCTTTTGAATGTAAGTATCAGCCTAATAGCTCCTACAGAGTAATACTGAAGGACCTCATTATTTACTCGTAGTCTCAAATTCCCAAACGCGGAAGGGCAAGTCATTAAAACCTCTCAAAGCCCTCAAGATCAACTAGATCAAAATTAATCCTGACAAAATATGAAAAAGTAAAATGATATTCAAAAAGAAAATTAAAATTTCCTTATCAAGTTCAAATGGGATAGAAATTGACTGACCTTTGATAGATCTTGCTCATAGAGTTGAACTCGTGACCTATGGAGCATCCGCCTGTCAATCAGATCTGTGTTGTCGTCGTAGTGGTCAAATATCTTGATGTTGTTACTGTGTTTCCAAGCTTTGCCAATGGTGAGCATGGCCATCTGTGGGAAAACAAAGCACAAATGTAGTCAGGTGCATACAGGGCCTAATATAACTACAGTCTAGCGAAACACAAAAAGTGGTCTTTGTAGACAGGTTCCTTTAGTACATGTTTCAATGAGAAACAGTTCCAAGGGAAACAAAAAATGTGGTCTTTGTAGACAGGTGGTCACTAAAGCAGGTTTTACTGTATATGTCTTTAATTGGAAATGTAAGTTTAAAGAAAAATAAAAAGAAATTTATTTGGTCTCAACGATTGGCTTTCGGGATAACCCTGAACCACACCCACATGCTCATTTCAGGGGTCCTTCATATTTCTTTACTATTTCATACTAGGAAGTTAGGGGGCTTCTGCGTTTCTGAAGTACTTTAACTCTCAATACAAAAGGGGAATTTTAATAAGGGCAAGTCCCATGACAAAAAGATTCCCTCATTACCCCTGAAATTTCTCTAATAAAAGGATGCATTTGACAGAACTAAAAAGCCTCCATAAGGCTTGTTCGGATATGGCATGGTAGCTGTGAAGGGTATTACACTTAACGACATCGGGTCTGGAAAAATCTTTAGCAAAACATCCTGTGGATACGTTGTTTGAACACACAATGTAAGAGACATACTGCTTTTTCTTGGGGGTAATGAAATCTCCTGATTTTTCCCCGATATAAGTGAGTTTTCTCGAATAATCTGGCTTTTCCCTGACTGGCAGAATAGGAAGCCCAATTCTTTCCCTGGTTTTGCATGAGAGACTTACCACAGTAGGTTGGGTTATGAAGATGCATTGAAGGAATGAGAAGTACATAGACTGCATCCAATAGATGGCTTGAGCATAACTGAACCTGAAAAAAAGTAATAAGCAAGAAAATATAATGACAAAGAAAATTAAAAGCAATTAGGATCAGATGGTAAAATGTCTGCCTGTTAAACAAAGATTCTCGGCTCCAACCGTACCTAGGAGGATGACTTAAAACCCAATTGCGTATTAATGTGCCCCACCCCTGATTCATAGATGCAGGCTAGATTACAGTGGAAAACACCCGTCCCTTCAGATAGGATGTTAAATGGAGGCACTTGGTAGAGGAGAGTCACCACCTCTGCACATTAGGAACCCTGCGAGACCACAAGGTTACAGTGATTCAGTTCGCTTTTACCCTCCCAGGTATAGGTGATGGCAAATACTTAATAATACTAATAATAATAATGATATTAGTTGCTCTTTCTTGACAAAGAATGTTCAAGTTTTGCTAAAAGTGTCAAATGTAGAAATAGAATATTTCATTCTATTTGATTCTATTTGATTCTTCATGAAAAAGAAGTAGGTACATTGAAAAAGTTATCACCTCAAGTTTGTTATCTAAAGCTAAATCTAACGACAAAACAAAGAACCCAATATCTCAATCTTTATTATGAATACAGCACCAAGAGAAAGAGTAAACATACAAATAATGATATAATGATAATATTCCGCTTTTATATAACATCAAATACATCGTTACAACAATGTGTCTAAGCGCTTTACAGATATATTATCACCCTGGTCATAGGATTCAGGCTTACCCGCACACAATGTATGCACATTCTCCACTCCATGGGGAGCATGCTGACTGAAGAATAGATACTTACTTCAGACCAAGCACTATGGTGATGACAGACGATGCAATCACAATGAAGATAGACCCTCCCCACGCAACGAAGTAGAAGAAATGTGGTAGCCAGATCTTGGGGCTCTTGAGTTTCTTGTGATGCATGGAAGGGATGGGATCAGTGTCGATGGACTCCCAGCTCTCGGTCAGCTCCGGCGAGGTCAAATCACTATTTGTGAACATTGGCCTGTATGAAACAAAGAGTTGTGATAACATTAGACAGCCCAATTTTTAAAGCCCTTCTGCACTAATTGTAGCTAATTGCTCCCTCTATAAAGCAAACTATGCCTAAGCGGTACCAGTTGGTCCCCCATGGTCCCCTTTTTCTTGTGTTAATTGAGAGCTGATTTGATAAGATAACCACTTGTCCGTGACCATGCAGGGAGGTCTAAACCCTCCTGGCCAAACTAGTGCAGATAGACTTTAAAATGATGTCATCTGAACTTAGAACCATACAATCAATACATTACCATATATATCTACTCATTGTACTTTAACCTTTTCAGGACAGTATTCATTTTTAGGGCAAAATCAATCACAAATTGTACTATAATTTGCAACTAAAATTGTTTCTAAAATGATTGAATCAAATGCAATATCTATGAAAAAAATTTACATGGGAAGGAATGATGACGAAAAGTTTCTAAAAAATTGCCAGTTTTGTCTAAAAACAATAATTGTTAATATCCCAATGTGTTGTCAATTTAAGAATTTTATAACTTATTTTCCCTTTAAAATTCCTAGCACTAAATGCCATATAGTCATGAAACAAAAAAGGATGCAGAGTGTGCAGCAAATGTTCGGCTTTTCTACTTGTGTTTCTGGTATATATTATGTCAGGGCTCTGAATCATAACATATTGAGCAAACCATAAAATGTGTGTAGGCTCAGTCAGTAGAGCGTCCGCCTCACAACCGGGAGGTCGTGGGTTCGAACCCCTGCCACGTCGTACCAAATTACGTTAAAAGACGGGAGTTGCTGCTACCTTGTTTGGTGTTCAACAATAAGGGATAGTCCAACGTCGATCTGGCGCTGCTCAGTGGCTGCCGGGCTCACAATCAATTGGGCAAAAAAGAATTTCCATTTTCGGTTTAACTTAATAAAATTTGGAGTGGACTTTAAAAGATTATTATTATTATTTTCATTATATTAAAAGAGAAATGGACTATCATGACCAGATGCATCCAGAATGCAAAAAATGCAAAATAGTTAGTGATGTTTGCCAATTAAAAATTCTCTTTTGACATGTCTGAATAAATTTTTGGCAAACATTTAGTCTAATCGAAATGGTATATGTATTTACCAGCTCCATATAATAATGTGGTTCTACATCTGTGTTTGATAAAATTATGATTTTCAATAATTATGCAGTTTGCGTTCCAGACGCGGCACTACATTTCACTGACCTACCTTGTCTTGAGCTATATAAATTTAAAATTCTTCTTTTTAAGCATCAGCTGATTTATAATAATAATAACAATTGGGTTTATATAGCGCCTTTTCCAAAGGATACAAGGCGCTGTCTCTTAGACTATCAACAATAAAAAGGAGTTATACAAGTAAGATTGTTTTTGAAGAAATCTAGTGAAATGTTGTTTCTTCTGAACGAGGGGAGTTTGTTCCAGAGACATGGGGCTAAGGACTGAACGGATTTGAAACCAACCTGTTTACAGGATTTGGGAATGACAAAAGCATCAGCTGATTGATAACATACCTAAATCTGTCTTCTGAAGAAAGTTCACCAAACCCGCTGGAGTAGCTGTGAGCATCAATGCTGGACCTGCTACTCTCATTCTCAGACAGATGCTTGAAGATAGAACTCTGAAATACATCGATCAAAAAGGTGACAAGTTAAAGATATAGACCAGTAGTGGTAAAATTGCGGTTCAAGAGTTTTGGGTGCAAAATATCCATTTAATATTGTTTAAATATTGCCTTCAGAGGTTTAGATAGCAATACTTCAACCTAAATTCACCAAAAAACAGAAATATATGCCCAAATGTTCAATGTTGAAGTGCATCCGTGATATCTATCTAGGCCGGATCGATATGATAATTTACCAAATATATCAATTAGTAGGCGGTTTCCCAGCAAAATTTGTATCATCACGTATTAGTCAAAACATATTCTTTCACATGATTGGTAATAAGAGCTTTCATTTCATTTTTTGAGAGAGGGGCGTTTCCAAAACTGGTCTATACCTTTAACAGTTTTACCATTTATACGTACTAGATGTTGTTTGTTTTCCAGCATGATAAATATATTTAAATTTCAAATTTATCGTATAAATCATATAACACCTATGTCACTGTGTTTTTCACTTCTTTGCTTTCAATGATGTCAACAGGATGCCAGTGTGTGGATATCTTCTTCAAACACAGGAATGGCATTAATTTTAAGGTTCAGAATTAGGGTTAGAGTTAGGGTTAGAGTTAGGGTTAGAGTTAGGGTTGGGTACAAGTTAGGCAAATATAATATTCAACAGTAGATGGCGACCTTCCTCCCACACTCCGCAGGTCAGCATATTTTGCCAATACGATACCAGGGAAGACGACAAGACAAGGTTTCTTCCGGCTTCAATAGAGAATGCACAGCAGTGCCAACAAATTCCTTATATCACAAAACTATTGCTCAGGATTCATGAACTCCCCTGATGATTTGATGAGATCCATACAGGCACCTTCATTATATGTTACTTATAGTTATATGGTTCCGAAACTATCATTTCTATCAGACTTTCAAGTTCTCGACCCATTGAATTTGTATGGGAACCGGAGGTGCCTTTGCCAAAAGTACCCAAGGCCGGTGCTGCCCTCTATGGCCGAATACCATAGTTGCGATAGCGAGAATTGCCATTGGAGGATCGGCCAAAGACCTGTGAAAGGTACACAGTGATACACACCTTGTGTCTATGCTTCCACTTCTCCCTAGCCCATCTCTGGAGGTTGTAGAGCTGTGCAGCGGTTTGTTCCTCTGGGTCTAATTGAATGCAAAAGCAAAAACATGATAAAAATGAAAATTATACTATTTGCCGTTGCTTACTGTATCGTGTTGTAGTGGAGTGATATAGCACTTGACTGTAACAGCAAAGGTTGTAAGTTTGATTCTTGACACGTCACTAATGTCCTTTGGCAAGACATAAATCTACATTTGTCACTCCATACCCAGGAGAGAAATGGGGAACCAGTAGGATGACGAAAGCCTTTGTGACAGATATTGCCATATGCCCTCCCAGTGGCAAAATGGTAGGAATACTTCCCAGAGAGTAGAAAAAGTGAACGCTGCGTGCGTAAACGAATCCGATGACCGGGGTGATTATAATTTCTGTAAAGCACTTAGAGATCGTATTCTGTATTACACGCTATATAAATCTAGATTTATATTATCATTCATCCCCCAAAACAAATGAGGATATCTGGAAGTTATCAAATGTTATGACAAGTTCAGCACACAAGGGGATGGATGGATAGTACATGAATTCCTCACGGGCCAGTTTCTCAAAACTGTCATACGTCTAAGTTTGTGCACATCCATAGAACGCTTGTTAATTCTATAACACACGTTTCAATGGGAAGTTGGACTTTTGAAGGTTTGGAGAAACAACCTCCAGTTCTTTATCAGAAAGGAGATATAACAGGAGATAAGCAGACAATATAACAGTGGCATCATAGCAAGGGATCTAAAAAAGTATGTTCTTCTTACATTTCGCTATCATGAGCTGGGTCCTACAAATTACTGACCGCTTACAAATTACACTAGATGGATACCAAAGGTACATGAATTCCTGTGTGCGGAAATGAAAATCTGAATGTATCAGAGCAAAGGAAAGCGGCTTACCGGATTGATTCTTATTGCTAGATTGATTCTTGTTGCTAGATTTGATGTGCTTGAATAGCTCTCCAATTTCCCCTGGCATTCGCCAAGGCTACAATAGAAGACAAAAAAAAGTGCATGTATATTTATTTATTTATTTATTTTAGTTTATTTCAACAGGATGGTCTCATTTCAAGTCCATTTCTAGACCTGCTTTCCCAAAGAGCCCTGCATTCACCTAAACAACATGTACAATAAAAACACAAATTCATAACATACATACAATGGTAAAAATAAACATGACATATACAATAATTCAATTCAATAATTCATAATGAAAAAGGAAAAAAAAGATTAAATATAGGTAACATAAAAACACACATTAACAAGTATAAGAAAGAAAGTAAGAAAAAGGTATATATATATCTTTCAATCAGTATCATTGCATAATTAGTGGAGCTGATTTGATACTGTTGCATAATTGTTTATGTTACGGTATTTACATCATTACAAAATGATTTACTTTGATTCAATGAAAGCAGAGAAATCTTTTCAATGATGGAAAAATTTCTGACCTTTGACCTCCGAAAGAGCATGATGAGAGGGAAGTTTATAGGAATGGCGACAAGAGCTGTTACAATGCCGACAAGCACGGCTTCCCCAGACACGTCAATGACCCCAAGCTCAGAGTCCTGTGGATTGAAAAAATGATCGAAAGAATAATTATTACATCATTGTTTATATATGAATTATGCATTGTGCTCCTCAGGGAGTGGAGAATGTGCATGAATTATGTGCGGGTAAGCCTGAATCCGATGACCGGGGTAATGATATACCTTTTAAGCGCTTAGAGACATTATCGTAAATCAGCAGCATGGAGAGCGTGTAGCAAGCTTGGAAGAATCTGGAAATCTTCTCTTCCTAGGCAGTTCAAACAACGTTTGTTTGTTGCTACTGTTGAATCTGTGCTGCTATACGGCTGCGAAGCATGGGCAGTTACAACAAAGCCGGCAAAAGAATTAGATGGTTGCTACACCAGACTTCTTAGGACAGCATTCAACGTGCACTGGAGCCAGCATATGACAAATAAGGAGCTGTACGGGAATTTACCAAAAGTATCAGAAAAGATCAGGGAAAGAAGACTACGTTTTGCAGGCCACAGCTGTAGGAACATCAATGAACCAATATCTCAACTTTTACTCTGGAAACCTAAACACGGGAAGAAGAAACCTGGAAGACCTCATTTTACCTATACAGACCTACTCAAGAAGGATACGGGACTTGAACTGTCAGAGATAAAAGCAGCCATGCTGGACAGGAATGTGTGGAAGGCCATCACAGCTCGGGCAGTTGACCCGACTTAAGCAAGCAAGCAAGCAAGCAAGAGACATTATGTATTAAGTGCAATATAAAAGCAGAATATTATTATTTTATTATTATATTGAAAAACTAAAATTACAGGAGTACATCACCTACATTTACATGCACTTTGAAATATAGTTCTACTTTTAGGCAAGGTCATATGTCCACTAGCAATAGACAATAAGTGGGTAGGGCCTTACAGTTGAAACGACCTACTGGTAACGAAAACAGAGAGGAACCAGTAGTGTTGTGTCATTCGATCAAATATATTTACCACTGTAATTTTGATTAACAAGATTTCATCAGAATATCATAAAAAACATTATCGTATCTAATCATAGTACAGTCAAACCTGCTTTAGATAACACCTGTCTATAAAGACCCCAATATTTATTTCCCTTGCATGTGGCTTCTCATTGAAACCTGTACTAAAAGAACCTGTACATAAAGACCACCTGCCTGTAAAGACCACTTTTCACATTTCCCTTGACAGTCTTTATATACAGGTTCCACTGCACCTGCAACACAACATAGTTTTTATGTGTCAATTTGTTCAATGTGTCACATTTTAATATTTTTAAAATTACATCATTTAACCCTTTGCTTACGGGAACCTGGTGGTCCCTGTGTTGAGCCTAGGGGACCTATAAAATTCAGTGGTCAACAAATTAATCCTCTTTTACAAATCCAACCTACCTCTTTATCAAGCTCCTGATACCAGAGGGTGTTAACACACATGAACCCCATGGAGATACAGAGACAGCAGGTGAGACGCTGCACCCGGGTGAAGATGCTGTACGGTGGCCTGGTGAAGACGGAACTCCACAAGTAGTAGTCTGCAAAATACTGGGCCCCCTTGGCAAAGAAAGCCTGAAGATTGCAAAGACGGTCATGGAGAAAGAAATGAGTTAATTTTATTAATTTTTTTTCAGCTTTATTTTAGTAGGGTGGCTTCCTCAGTAGTTAAATACTGTTTTCTGTGGAGGCATTATTTAATTTCTTTCAAACTCAAATCCAAGCCACTCGGATCTATTTGCAGAAAGAAGTTAAACTGGACAGGATAAAGCTATACTTCTGAATTTAGTTTATTCAAACATCAAAACAACATAGAAAAAAATCATACATAAAAAAAAATAATAATTGATTTTAATCATAATATTTAAGAGGTATAGTTAGTGTGATGGGATGGTAGTGGGAAATAATGTTCTTAAATACCTATGACAATTAAACCTGGGCAACTACCACATAGACCATAACCCTTCAGAGAATAACCAATTTTGGATGGTGCTAATGATTCTTATAAGTCTTTGTCTTGAGCGTAAATCATTCAATGGGAAATAGGTGGCCTTGGGTGTTATGGGCTTGTTCTCAAAACCCAGGAACAATTATAATGTCCTCAAAGGCATCGTTTCACAATGTAAAATCTGAGTTGCATGGCCTTACATGTCATCAGTGTCTGTGATATGTTGTAATATTGAAGCCCTTAAAAAATTACGCTTCAAAATGATCATGAAGTGCCTGAAAAAGTAACAATCTTTGACTGACCGGTTTTACCATACCCGGTACTCATTTCCCCCAATAGACTGTAGTGTTATAAAGGCCGTTAACAAAACGTTTTTTGAAATTTTGATTTCCAACCATAAATGTCTTGATAATCAGACAAGCGATCGGTGTGTAAAAGTCATGGGATTCATGTATGGCTTAAAGGTTTATAATTATGATTGCAGCATGAGCTAAATCAAGGATTTTTTTTTTCGAATCTGAGACAAAGTTACCCTTTCTTTTTAAATTTGACTTAGGATCTTTGTGAAACACCCCCAGGGGTGTCACGGGGTTGTTCTCAAAACCCAGGAACAATTATGATGTATAAAGTCCTTAAATATCTTTAAATCATTTGGTAGTTACTCTTACCTTGGTGAAGCCGACCCCATCGTCCACCACAAGCAGCTCTCGTTCTATCTTCCCGTCGTCCTCCTCCACCGCGAACCAGCGCTCACAGATAAAGAACCACTTCTGCCCGGTCAAGAGGTCACGTATTGAGATCCTACTCAGGTACCAGCCTGGTGACAGACCAGCGTTGTTGTGCCAAAGCTGAAGCCGCTGGATGTTTCCAAGAGACTCTGGGACACTGGTGAATCACAGAAAGAATGATATAAATACTTAGATAAATCTCAATGATACTCACAGATCCTAGTGAAGGGCATTATTATGCCGAGGGTTCAGTGACACAAAGACGTAACTCCATATTTTGCCAAAATGAGTATTTCATATCAAAATGTTCAGAAAAATGTGAGGTTTCCAGGAAACACAAAGACTTAACTCCACCCAACACCCAATTTAAGTCAAATGCTGGTGAAACATAGACTTAACTCCATAAGGCCCAAGTGCTCAGTGAAACATAAACCACTTTTTTTGCAAAATGGAGTTGTTCCACAAGGAAGAGGTCCAATGACTCAGTGGTTGAGCAGTGATCTTATAACTGGGAGGTCCCCGGATTCGAAAACAAGTCAATGTGCTTGTGCCATTTGGCAAGGTGTTAACCCTATTTTAACTGGGCTATTTCAGACCAGGTTTTTATGGGGGGGGGGGGGGGTCAAGATCTCGGCCGTTTCACTGCCGATCGCCGCGAAAATTTGCATGCATGCCAAGTGAAGTGTATTGAATACTATGGTAATTTCAATTTTTTGAAAAATTCACTCATTTGCATATTTATGGTAATTTATGCAAATAGAGTCATAGAATTCACATTTTTGCCCATCAATCATACATCATTCATATTTAAGCATTCTGTTTCACAAAATATATTTGTTAGACCATTTGGAATAATAATACAACAACAAAAATTGGAAGAGCCAGGTTATTCCTTATGTTATCTCTTGTTTTAATAATTTCTTTATGTATTTCATTGTTTTTTTAACTTTTGTATTTTATTTCATTTATAACTACAATTTAACTATTTTGACCCCAAAACAAACACCTAAACTTTAACAAGACTAAATAACCAATGTTTTATCTCTTTTTTAGGAAAAATGACATTTCCATATGTTTTGTACACAAATCACAAAAATGAGCAATTTTTCGGGCTGACATGCAAAGACAAAAAGTCACGTGACTTTGTAACTATACGTCCGATTTTCAAATAAATCGTTTTAAAAGATGCGTAAGACTTGATAGAAAAAGTAATGAAAGAAAAATTGTATATATGCCGCGATTTTGGAGTAGTCGCGACATTTCTACAGGGGGGGTCAAATTGACCCCCCCCCACCCCAGTTAACATAGGGTTAATCCTCCTTGTCATGTCCCTCTGACAGAACTTAAAGCCCTCTGTTCCCTTGTTGCTCACTAATACAAGCGTACACATGCTTTCTTTACTAGCAGTCAGGTAAAACAATCATCAAACAAATACATTAACAGTGGTGAGATACAGTGTTATAGCTAGAGGATTTGCTAGTAAGGTACCAGCTTGGTGACAGCCAAGCATTGTAGTGCCGTAACTGAAGCCGTTGAATGTTCCCTAAAGATTCCGGCACACTGACTAAACACGGGATCAATGATTGCTAATCTCAAACCCTAATGAAGGGACATGAAACCAATCTTTGCTACCGCCATTTTTCATTCCTTGTCATAAACAAACTTTAAAGTGTTACCTGTTACAACAATAACTTTACTTACATGAAAACACACAAATCAGTGCATAAAATAAATTAAAATTAATTAATATTGAAAAGAATTAAATTGATCCAACAAAATTAGAAAAGTGCAAGGAGAAAAAGAATTTTTTTTTGAAAATTCCAATTCAATCCAATTTTCTATTCAGTTCAAATTTTATTGTCCAATTATCGGAAATTTGTTGGAAAAGGGTAAGGGTTTCAAGAACACTGCTACATGTACATGGTTCCTATATAACTTGTTTTTAATTACATGAACAAGCATGTGATCTTTATTTACTTGGTACAAGCCAAAAGATTTCTCCACAACATGTACATGGTCTACCAACACATACGGGAAAACTCGATGATGTCAAAAACAAATATTAAACTGTGCATGTACAGTGAACTCAAATAATGTAATAATCATATGCTATCATTACAACTCATTCCAAGGATGTGAGTTAAGAGCATGGATTCATGTGCTAAACAAGTCACAAACATACAAATTCAATAAAAAGGAAGAATGATCACACTAAAATGTAAAATTCACACCGATTAAAGTGATTTATACTTACTTTAGCAGCACAATCACATTTGACGGTCCAGTGAAAACGATTTTAAAAAGGGTACAAATAATGTTTTTTAATATATATGTTTTAGGAGAATGTAAAATTATCCTTCACACTGCATCTACATTCATCTTTGCTTTAAAGAAAGGACAAATGAATATCATCTCATATCATATATGAGTAGAAATGAGGAAAAAAAGTACACGAATGATTTAATAACCAAATGGTCAAGATGAATATAATGGATATATACAGTTAACAACTTAATTATTCATACCCTTAAAGGACAAGTCCACTCCAAAAATAACTTACTTTCAATAGAAGCAGAAAAATCAGAAAAACCAATCAAAAAAAGTTTGAGCAAAATCGGGTTACTAATAAGAAAGTTATGAATTTTTGAAAAAATATGTAAAACTTTGGATCAATGAAAATCACAAGACAGTAGTATTTTAGTATTGAAGTATTTAAGCTTATATTGTACATCTAAAAGTATTCAACTAGGCCCTGATTCAACCAGACCACCTTTCATTCTTGATTTACAAAAAACGCAAAAAATGCAAAAAAACATACAATTTACAAGGGGTATGAATAATTTATTTGTTACCTATACTTTATCTTTACTACAGTTACAAACTCCCCGTCCCTCGGAGAGGATGTTAAATGGAGGCCCCGTATACAAAAGAGCCACTGCCCTTGCACATTAAGAACCCACTTCACTATTCGTATCAGAGTAGGGGGAAACCCCAATGTAGTTGTCCACAGGTCTGCACACCCCAATCAGGCCCAATCTTCAGTATTTAAGGAGGCAGATTATCTTGAATAAGAAGAAACTGCAAACATACCTGATGATGAATCTATCCCTGGAGTTATTCTCAAAGATTGGTTTATCCTCACAGATGAGCTCTTTAGTCTCTGAGTGACCTTCCTCTCCATGCAAGACGATGCTGATTCGCGCTGTCGTACCAGCTCCTGAGCGGAAACCAGTCTCCACTGTGATGTCATAGCTGAATGATAAGGATGAAAAAGGTGGAAAATTGTCAAATATACATACACTGTACCTACAAAATCTTCCATTGGAAAATTAAGGAATCCCTCAAAGGCAAGATGAGAACACAGTGTACTTGGTATGTCCTTTCACAGAAAATTTCAAACAAAGGAAGGAATCTTGAGTCCATGACATTAGTTTAAAAGCCTTCAAATAGAAATCACTCCTCCCCCCAAAAAAAATAAAAATGGTTGGTTGGCAGTGGTGGTTTAATGCAATACAACCTACAAAATATGAAGCAGAAAAACAGATACAGGTAACTCCATATGTAGAGATGTCTTGGCCTAGTGGATAAGTCATCGGACTGTGGATCAGATGGGCACTACTAATGTCCTTAATCTACATTTTCCACATTCGACTCAGGTGAGGTAAATGATACTTGGCAGGAATTAATTCCTTGAAATGCTTGAGCCCTATAATGGCAGCCATGCTAATACCGGGGTAATAATTGTGGAGCATCAGGAGTGTCAATTTTGACAGACATAAGCACTATATAAGAACCCACTATTGATATTATATTAGTATTATGGAAAAACAATTTCTGATATGTTCAACGTTTTGACCTTTTTACCTACAAATATTCACCCTATATTTATCCATCTAAATATGTGGTGTTAAGTTAAAGTATATTCACATCTTCGTAAGATATTAAAATAAGAAGACATAACAACTACAAATATATGCCAGTTCTTATCAAATAGTTGAGTCCCTCGGGTTTTCACACACTTTAGAATGTTCCACATTCTGAGGAGATATGGTTCCTTAATGTTTTTAATCTGTATATTATGTTTGCAAAACCATGATAGTTATGAAAAAGGGCTCTTTTGGCTAGATATCGATGAAATTAAATAGGAAGGGTAGTTTTGTTATTATAAAATCTGTCATTGGGGAAATAAGGGTACATTCTTAATTTTTTCTTCAATGTCCGACTTTCAATACGTAAATGATTATTTCACTGAGGGGTCTCCTTGTAATGGTACAAATATGGGTGTTTTACAATAAACATTTACCTTGTTCCTTGTTAAAACACTTGATAAATTGCATAATGTATTATTTTTCCCTGCAAAATAAGAGGTAATTTTGAATGCTGAAACTGTCATTTGTTGAATACATGTTCTATTTCCAGCAGGTCCTGAATTATAGCCTGAACTTGAATTTCATTCTATATGACCTTTGACATTTGACCCCCAAATTCTCTTATTGAACTTGAACATAGACTCTGCACTCACTATTGCTTATCTCCAGGCTGGTTGTCCTTCAAATAGATCAATCCCTGCTTCTTCTCGTCATGTCGGTCGGCATAGTAACAGTAAATAAACAGCAGAGCATAGACTCCCAGCAGTCCTGCCACAAACAGGTAGGTCACTGGATTCTCATTGGGGCTGTCATTCAAGATGGAGAAAATATAACATGAATGTTGGAAGCACTAATCCCATTGCTTAAAGACCCTATCCTGTGATAATGCAACTTTATATCAATGGAAAGCTGAATGAGCATAGAATACAAATATAAAGGATTATTATCTATATCAGGCTTCCCAGTGGTACAATATATTAGTGTATTTAATATCCTTAGCGCAGTACCCGGATGATTGACTAATATTTTTTTCATATTGCTCAGTCACCTCGGAACTATAACTATAACTGAGATAAGTCAAAATTTGTTATTGCACTAGTCAGCCTGATATAGATAATAATAATAATAATATTGTATGTTTGTTTCCGTGTAATACAAGAATATATTTCTCTCGCTATGATAAAATATTGGACTCTTCTTCGACTTGTCCAATATTGTCATAGCTCAAGCAATATATTCTTGTATCACACTTAAATCCATCCAATATTATATAAATACAAAATATTTCCCTTTCATTATTGCACAAAAGCAAAGTCAAAACTAGATTTTCCTAAGATTATTACGTAAAATCAAGGCAGAGAAGGAGATCGAGCTTACCCAACGAAAAGCTGCATGTCGACAAAGCTGACGATATTGAGGATGGGGACGAAACTAACCCCAAAGGAGCTGAGATGGGTGCACAAACACTGCGTGGTAGCAAAGGTGGAGGACGAAGATGTAGAACATCCTTCGGGAGACCATCTCACTGCAAAATAGGAGTACACAAAACCATATTTTATCAAACCAATTTTCAATTAATTTTATTTTAATGTATTTTTTAAAAATCTTAGTAAATTCAGTTTGTTTCAGCCTTAGGTTGCTATGTTAAATGAATATTTTTTTCTCAAACAATTACCTAATTCAAATCAAAACAAAATAGAAATATGGTTGTTTGATGATGAGTGTTTGAACCCAACTGCTACAAAAGCATGTATATGCTTGTAAGTAAGCAACCAGAGGACTGACAGCTTTAAGTTCTCTCAGACGGACTTGGTGAGGAGGATTAATGCCTTACAAAAAGGGCACAAGCTCATTGACTTGGTTTCCGATTCGGGACCTCGTGGTTAGAAGACCACTGCTCTACCACCGAGCCATTGTGCCTAATTTGTTCAGAAAAACCAAATAATAATAATTTGTTCAAAATCAAATCTAAACAAAATAATTTCTCTCACCCTCTGAAGGATCCCAGTAGAGACACTCTCCCCACCACATCTTGAGTAGGTACTGCCTGGTCTGGTCACTGTCCTGTCGGAAGACTGTCTCCCCGAACTCACCGTCTACGAGGGCCAAGTAGTAGCGCCCAGAGACTGGTAAAAAGTAATGAATATTACATTTCATTTATTTATTTTCAACATTCCAGTTACAAAACAAATAAAAAGGAATACAAACATAAAGAGACAAAACACAACAAAAAAGTAAATTACAAAGGGGGAAATAATGAGGAAACATGGTAAATCAGTATGTGGAGGGGGAAAAAAAAGCAAAGTTGCTTGTAAGGGTTAATCCCAAGAATAATATAAATTGTCACGTTGTAAACATTGTAAACAAGGAGGGGGGTGGTCAATGTATTATTACCACTATTGAGCTAAGCAGAGACTTGCATAGACCAGAGGGAGAAAGAAGAGGAGACGGATGGAAGGTGAGGAGAGGGAAGGAAAGTAAGTGGAAGAAAGAAAAAAGGGGGAGGGGAAGGGAAATTGAGAAGAGGAAGAGAGACAGGAAAGAGGGAAGAACAGATTGCAATCACTCAATCTCACTGCTGCCGTACATTTTACGCCCACACTGTTAGAAACCCCACAAACTGGTTTAACACAATACATGCATGCACTGGCTGCATGGCATGACTGTGCCAATACGTTGCACATACACATGCACAGGTGGCAATTTTTCTGCGTGTTGTTGAATTAGCAATTAATTTACAAGTTTTGTGACAAATAAAACTCCTGTGAAAACAACAGTTTATATAGTAACATCTTTTTATGATTAAACAAGATAACACATTTGTGTTCTTTGTCAAATTCTTGCTTACCATTGAAGCTGTCAGGTGACAGAAAGATATCTATGCTGTTGATGTCATCGTTGTGGTTCCAGCAGCGGTCATACTTTGTAGGGGTCGGCTCCACTCCATATCTATATGGTTCAAAGTGAATTGGCACAAAGATAAAACCAGAGTAATCACTAGCTATGCCGTTGAGCTTTATACAAACATGGAAGTGTTTCACAAAGACGAAGACCGACTTTAAGTTGGACTTAACTATGGCAGGTCGTTTACGCCACTGTTTGCTCTCACCATTATGATCTTTAGATAATATTTTTTCCTTCAATAATGAATTATCAAAAAATTTAAATTCTGTAGATTTGTGACCATGATTTATACTTCCCTTGAGAGACTTATGCAAGTAAATGGCTTTAAGTCCAACTGAAAGTCGATCTTAGTCTTTGTGAAACACCCCCAGGTATTACAAATCAGATCTTTTGAGCAATCACTTCACCTTTATTTCATTCTTAATTGCTTATTGTGATATCAGTATTCTAAAAGATCAACCGTGACTCAGGATTCTATTCTAAGTTCAGATAGGCAACAGAAAAGAATTAACATGTTGGATACATGATCATAATTAGGGCAAGTTGTGTCACTTGCTAAAAACAAATGGAATTATATTGAGAGCATCTGCGTGTTTTTGCTGGTAGTTTTTTTTTTACCTGCCACTAAAATTTAACTATTTCAAAGCCTGTCTGCACTACTTGTAGCTACTTGCGCCCTCAAAAAGCCAACAATGCCTAAGTGGTGACCGTTGATCCCCCATGGTCCCTTTTTTCTTATGTTAATTGAGAGCTAATTGGATGAGATAACCACCTGTCAGTAACCACACAGGGAGGTCTAATCCCTCTTGGCCAAACTAGTGCAGACAGGCTTTAATACCAAAACAATGTATTTTATAAAGAGAGATTTTCTCACCTCAGCAGCACTGTGATAGGGATGGGGCGCTGTATCGGAGTGAGCTTGATAGATATGTGAGCACTCTGCTGGATGTTAGCTCTAGACACGTTGAAGGAATGCACGCTCATGAAGGCAGGATCAAAGGTATAGTTGTATGAAAGTGAGAGCTGTTGGACAAAGATGGAATAAAACACATGTAATCATGGTGGGCACTAGAACAGAGAGTAATGAAGGAAGACCAATTAATTTCAAAGAAACAAATTTGATTCCAAGATTAGTATTATGGAATGGACATAATGCAGTAGCCACAAATATAGGCAAAGAGTGAAGTACATCTGAGAGTAGGAATTTAAAAAAAATTTAACCAGCAAATTGATTGAGTACCGGTACTGAATGAAATAATTGAAAAAAGTGAATACAGCAGCCACCGGGCTTCTGTAGTCAACTGGTTTTAAAAATAAAAAATGCAATTTAACAGCATTTAGATAATTCTATTTTTTTACTCCAAATGCTAATTAGCTTACTTCGATTCAGAACACTCTAAAACCAATCTAAATATTAGCTTACAAATGACTTGGACTTTTCAACTACATTAGATATTATTATAATAAAAAAAGGTGCACATTTTATAATACAGCACAACTTGTAGGGAGAATTTGTGTAAACCAATATATTTGTAGGGGGAAAATACTACAATTATAGTGTATAGCTACACTTGGCTCAAAAGACGATTCAATTCCGAAGATGATTACAAAACATTTCTCACCTTTTCTGATAAGTTGTCAATGTCGATGATGATTTCCTCTCCGGCAGGTAGATTAGAGACATTTACTAAGCTGTGTTCATCGTCATCGCAGGAGTATAGTTCTAGAGACGCCACAGGTGTGGTGACCTGTAGATGAGCCATAAGAACAAAATTAAAAAGTGATCGTTGCTATTATGGTATGAGGGGTTTAAATGATTTCACAGATAATGCACGCATTGACTGCTGACATACAAACTCGGGCTATTCTGAAATATGAAAGTCCCTGCAGTGATACACTAGACCACGCTTAAATATCTGGTTAATCACATTTGCTTCTTCACCAAAACTTACTCCGCCTCTAGACGTATTTACACATTCATGAATATGCTTGAATTTATTTGTAAAAATAAGAATATTAAATGACTTTAGCTTTTCTGTCATAAATGATCAAGCAATCACGATGAAGTCTAATTCAACATTTGAATTAAAGTCTTTTCAGCTGCGAGAAACAAATTCTTCATCTAAGACATCTAAACTTACTATTACACTATTAAAGTGTATTTGTTTTTATGAAGTTTCTAACTGCTCTCTGGATCAAAGGAGGATACTCTTTTAATATTTAAAAGAATGCTCATGTGATTTTATGAGGGGTTCTACACTAATAATTGACAAGTTAAAAATAAACAAATATATTTTCTTCTAAAAATGGAGCTGCATGCCATATTGTGACAGCAGTGCAATGTTTAACTATTGATCACTGTTTTTAAATATTGGTATCTGCAAATGTATTTGAACAGTGGGGTAAATACCCGATATTAGTAGAATCCTTGCCTCTAAACACCACCACAAATACCATCATTGAGCATGAACTCACACTACTGAAGTCATATCACTTTAAACATTCCACTATCGACTTACCTTGTTGGCACCTTGACCCCACATGAAGGGGTTGTCCACATACGTCACCATGTGGGCGTCGTAGCAGGGGTGGTTCCAGCGGTACCTGTCGGTCCAACTATCCCTCGCCCCAGGCTTACGTACCAGGGCATCCAAGCCTGGAGGGAGGGTGAAGGTTGCACCCCCCGCCGAGAAGCTGGCTCCGGCCAGGGTGCCGAGTCTTGAACCCTGGAGGCTCAGCAGGAGACTGGTGAGAACCACTGCCTCGCTCTCTGTGGTCATGTGACCGAGATGCACCTGCCAGTGAAAAAAAGTACAGTTGTAAATGTAGCATTTGGTTGGCAGGTGTGTCGTTTTTGTCAACGTCTACATCCTTACACCTCTCCAACATTCTAAGCACCCCAGAGTAATACCGGTAGTACAATATTATAGATTTATTGACTGCTATGAGAGGCATGGCTGTTTCTATAGGCTACAGGGGTCATGGCAGGATGCAACGTCCTCGAGAGCCAGTATAGAAACAGCTATGCCTCAAATATTAAAGCAGTCCGTATATCTAAGTCAATACGTATCAATGTCTATGTATATGTATGTCTATGTATAATTCAATATGTATCAAGAACAAAATTAAAGTCTTAAATGAATGTACAGCCTGGAAAATCTGTTTTTTCTTGCATTCCAAAGAAGTGGAAGTATACAGTGCATCTCAACATCATTTCAAATCATAAATAGGATAGCGTATTGAGAGAGATAGTTGTGACAAACACATGCATACGCACCGAAGGTTCAATTCATGACCTTCAAATAGTTCATGATTTTCTAAAAGAGGGAACTATGTCCGCTATCCATAAATTGAAAAAAGAATGCATATACGAGCACATGTCACCATTATCTCTTTCAATGGATAATAGGCCTCAAGGAGTTGTTTCATCTTCAAATAATGAACATTTATTTCCCCCTCCCCTTCATGAAGGAAATTTCTATCTCACATTTCTTCGCCTTTCCGAACAGCGAGACGACTTTGTGGTAGTCCCTTCTTTCCCCTCTATTCCTATTTACTGGTAGCCCAATGGTAACCTTACCTTATCTGGCCATCACAGCCATCGGATGATGGAAGAACTTAATTTAATATTATTTAATTTAGGAACTTTACATTAATCTTGATCTAAGGAGACACGAACAAACCTGGAGCATGTCGATCATGGCCGTCACCATCTGCTCCGTGATGTCTCTGGAGTCTTCTGGAGACAGGGTGTCATCTGTGTGGTTGTGATGAAACGACTCCAGGATGTTGGAGGCCACCATGACCATCACCTCGAGAGCATCGCGAGCCAGGCTGGGCTCCTCCCACCTGCATCGGGCGCTGGAGGTCGCCATGGTCGTTAGAAGGCCGGATACCTTCCTCTGGCAAGGGGCATTCAGCTGGAATGAATGCAGGAAGGGACGAACCACGAGATGAGGAAATAAATTTGAGTAAAATGTTGCCTTTTTTGTGACAAATCAAGGCCAGAGAGCCTGGCAGGGGCAACCTCTGACACAATACAGAGTCCCTTGGTAGAGGTGTTGTGGTCTAGTGGATATGTAACCCGATTGCAGATCACAAGGTACGGGGTTCGAGTCCCGCCGGGGGCACTAATGTCCTTCAGCAAGACGTTAATCTATATTTGCCACCCTCAACCCAGGTTTTAAATGGGTACCCGGTAGGATGCAAAAGTTAATGTGGTTGGATGAGCAAGTGCGTGCTTGTGAAATGGCACCTGGCCGGAATGCCCCCCAGGGAGTGGAGAATGTGCAAACATTGTATGCGGGTAAGCCTGAATCTGAGGACCGGGGTAAAAATTTGTTTAATTTATAGTGATTTGTTTGTATATCTTCTGATAAAAAAAAATGAACTGAACTTCAGCCATTGCCTATGCTAACCAGGGCTTCGTCTTAGAAAGAGTTGATATCAATCGCAACTATGTACATACGAGATAGGAGGTTGCAAACTTGTAATTGATTGAAGGACTTGCAATTGAATTTTGTGAGACGGGGCCCACACGATCCCTGTATAAAGCCTATGGGCACAAGAGAATTCCGCAGTCAACAGCTCAACCCGGTGACTGCTGATTTGTCTCTTTCCAATAGGTTTAGTACAGGAACTACCCAGATCCCGTAGCCAATAGGTTAACTGCCTACCTCGTATGGTACGGAAGAGACCTCATTGATGGCGCCAACAACCTGAAGGATTTCATACTCGTCTCGGATTGGGAGAGCTAAGATCCCTTCCAGGAGGGCACTGCGTATGACACACCTCTCTGTGATGATCTATGGTAGGAAAAATAAATGCAGAATGGTAGAGTCAGTATACTCAATATGGCATATGTTTCGATCCCACCGCTGCCACCAGGCTATGAAAAAGAATGCACCTGTCAATTTTAGGCACAAGGTATTGTGCCATTACTATTACCCGATAGACGGACAAGAAATTCCTTAGTATCCTTAGTAAAATGTTTTCATACGAAACAATGCAACGGGAAAGCAAAAGGATTCATAGTTGGTGGTGTTATTAGTGAATCTCAAGTAGTTATTTGCCTTATCTGAAAGGCTGATTTTGTAATATTACACCAAATCATGGTACATATAGATATGATTGTTTTTTAAAAGGAATTGTGTAACTTTGTCCCAGATTCTGAAACAAAATCCTTGATTTAGCTCATGCTGCAATGATAATTATAAACCTTTAGGTCAGTCAGGAATCCCAGCCTGTCTGATTATCAAGATATTTATGATTGGAAATCAAAATATGAAAATTTGTTTTCCTAACGGTTTTGACAACACTACAGTCTACTGGGGAAAATGAGTACCCGCCTACCCGGTATGGTAAAACCGGTCACTCAAAGATTTTTACTTTTCGTGTCACTTCATCATCATTTTGAAGCCCAATTTTTTTAGGGCTTCAATATTACACCATATCACAGACACTGATAACACGTTTTGATTTCCAATCATAAATATATTGATAATCAGACAGGCGATCGACTAATAAAAGTCATGGGGTTCCTGACTGACCTAAAGGTTTATAATTATAATTGCAGCATGAGCTAAAATCCAGGATTTTCTTTCAGAATCTGAGGCAACGTTACGGAGTCACTTTAAAGCATGTTTGATTGGTATCTTGATTGACTGATTGACTTGTGGAGAAACACATACATAAAAGTCTGAATAAATGTATTACATTATACTATATCGTATCTTACATGGCAATGATCTTTGTCTTCTTCCTCGTCTAAGACGTGCGAGAGCTGGTTGAGGAGATGGGCCACTAAACGCACATGGGAGTGAACGTTGAGGTCATCGCCGTGGGCAACGTAGACCGCCAGCATGCTGTCTCTACCCACCGAAACCGCCTCCCTAAAAATATTTATTATTCATTCACATATAACAAGCATGACAAGATTCAACATTTATACATTTGATACATTTTGATAGAATGCATGGATACAATGATGGACTGAATACGATTAAGTGAGATCACAGGGGCTATTCTGTAAAACTTGCAATGGCCATTTTCGTAATGTTACCAAGTTCAATGCATACCGGTACTTTTTTCTGAAGTGTTGTTGCAAGGTAGGACAAACGTTTTTGCTTACCCTACAAAGCAAACATAAAACATGCAATATGCATTCTGACTATTGAATTACAATTATTTGTAACAGGTGAGCGAAATCACATGTATAAGGCACTTCGCAAAGACGTTCATGTATGTGTTGAATTTGGATACATTACGAAAGTAGCCTATTGAATATAAAGGCTTCCTACAATCATATAGACATTTCCACACATGTCAGAATCCAGGGTTTCCATTGAAAACAGATCCTGCAGGCTTCCTTGATTAAAACTCTTTTAAGTGGCTTTTGTTGACCATTTGAAGAAACAGGAACTGCTACAGTTTGCTTTTGGCACATGTACATTGCATGTGTTCAAGGTATATTCCAAACAATGGGGTAGGCCAAGGTTTTGATGGCAAATAGACCATTTTGTTATGTAATGTATTGTAAAGTGCCATGTTACAAATTATTGCATTCACCTGATTTAAATAATTGTATTTCAATAGTCAGTATGCAAATTGCATATATTAATTGTTGCTAGGTATGATAAACATTATGGCTTGTCCTACCTATATAACAACACAAAATGTATGTAATTCACATTATGACTATTGAAATACAATTATTTTTAGCAGGTAAATGAAATATTTTTTAACGAGGTACTTAACACAGATGAGTGGGATAAAAATGAAAAGTATATTACCCATAAATCAGATAAAGTGCACCAGGGGGGTGTTTCACAAAGACCAAGATTAACTTTTAGTTGGACATAACTATAGCAGGCCGTTCATGCCACTGTTTGCTCTCACCATTATGATCTTTAGATAAGAAATTTTCCTTCAATAATGAATTACACAAAAATGTAAATTCCTGTAGATTTATGATCATGATTGTTTACGTCCCTTGAGAGACAAATGCATGTAAATGGTGAGAGCAAACAGTGGCATGAACGGCCTGCCATAGTTAAGTCCAACTTGAAGTTGATCATAGTTAAGTCCAACTTGAAGTTGATCTTAGTCTTTGTGAAACACAGATTGTGCATTTAATTTGATTAAATTACGAAAATGGCCTATTAAGAGCTAATAGAGAAATTTGATTCAATGAAGCCTTCATACAATTGTAAGTTTTACACAACAGCCTTGTATCAGATAATTTTTACGGTTAACCTATCCAAAAATAAGACAAATTATATCACAGTAATGATGAGTGGGATAAAAATGAAAAGTATATTACCCATAAATCAGATAAAGTGCACCAGGGGGGTGTTTCACAAAGACCAAGATTAACTTTTAGTTGGACATAACTATAGCAGGCCGTTCATGCCACTGTTTGCTCTCACCATTATGATCTTTAGATAAGAAATTTTCCTTCAATAATGAATTACACAAAAATGTAAATTCCTGTAGATTTATGATCATGATTGTTTACGTCCCTTGAGAGACAAATGCATGTAAATGGTGAGAGCAAACAGTGGCATGAACGGCCTGCCATAGTTAAGTCCAACTTGAAGTTGATCATAGTTAAGTCCAACTTGAAGTTGATCTTAGTCTTTGTGAAACACCCCCCTGATATGAATTCAAAGTATTATTTGGATTAAAAGTACATCTATTAAACACTGGAATAAAAAGAAAAGTGGTGTAAAAGTTTGAAAGAAAGATGAAACCTTTACAGACAAAACACGATTAATTGGTTCACTACAAATTAATGATGATGTACAGAATATGGACGAGAAATACATTAGCAATATTCAGCATCTGAAAAACACAGTAACACCATTTACATTATGAACAAACAGTTAAATTACTTCAAAACATACAAGATACATGTAAATAAATAGAAACAAAGATACAAATATATAGTATAAGAAGGAGAAAAACATACAAATCTGAAAATGATTATGAAATGTGTACAATTTGTTTATAAAATACAAAAAACCCTACCTCCAAAATGCACAATAGTAAATGACTCAATTGGTATTTTGTATTGGAATTTAAACCTCTGTGAAGATCAAACACTCAATCGTGCACTTCTCTGTCAACTTAGAGATACAAAAAAAACAATAAATATCTGAAAAAGAAAAAGAATGACCCGGTTCCCATATTTGTTGTTGTTGTTATTGTTGTTGAATCTTATAATATGTGTCTGTAGTCTAGAAAGAAAAGAAAAAAATAATTGCTATGAGGCAATGAATGGCCAAATGTACTTTAATAGCCCGTAATGTTGAATATCCTAGGCTATTGCATTGACTATACTATCCCTGTTTTATCTTCAGTCTGCAAATTTCAAGATCTTCACTTTTGGTCCTAGAAACTTACTTTGTAATTACAAATAGGAAATGAAATAACTTAAGGTGCATCAAAGACCAAAGACCCAAGCCCGTCCCTCCCATTATTCTGTATACATGAACCCAGAAAACTGATTCTTGACATTTACCATTATTTCCTCAAATGTTAACATCTTACAATAAAATAAATTGATATGTTCTTTATTCATTAATATTTGTTGACCTTTATAAAAGGTATCATAAAAAGAAACCGTTCAAGGCATTTGAGTTGTGCATCTTGGATGAAAAGTCTGCATACTGTACCCAAAAACTGAAGCTAGACAAATGAAATGAAATAAAATATATACCTGTACAGAAATATGTGAGCAAATATAGCATGTGTTTTTATATGTACCTTTAACTTAGAAACTATGTAGACTGTACAATATGAAACTAAAACCATCTATGTCCCTGCATACATGTCTGAGCACAAACCCTGTTGCTCATCCTGATTTTCTTGAAAAAAGAAACTCTTTCCTGAAAAAGAATTCATTGATACCCGAAGAGAAGAATATTCCTTGAAGTTAATGTACCTGAAGACATTGTACTGTCAAATAAAATCTAAAAAGTGTCTTTCTGTAAATTTGTGCTGGTCACTTGATGTAGTAGTGTTTGGAGTGAGTGTTGATCAGCCATATACTGCCCAATCAATATAAATATCCCTACAAAAATGGCAAGACGTTGGCAGCTACATGTACATGTATTTATTTAAATAAAGGAGCAATGTCTAAATTGAAAATAACCTCGCCTTCCTATCCAACTGTCTTCTCAATATCATCTTCAAATTCAACGAATAATAATAAATAATCATGATTGAAGGTGTCATCGGCTGCTAAATGGAGGAGCAATGACGTCTCGCTTCAGTATTCTCCTTCTCAATCGGGTGCTGTTTATCGAGAAATCAGATGGCAGTACTTACAATATATACATCTCTTATCCATGTATTCTTGATTAGGATCCATGAGTAATTGTGATTATAGCAAGTCATTAGTATAGCAAATGAATATTTTTTTATATTTCTTTATTAAATGCATTTTGTCTTCTTTTGGGGTATAAAGATATATATGTATGCTAATGCATGTAGGGTTGTAAAGCTTATGAAATCAATTCTGTGTACAATCAAACAAGCTTGAGGAAAGGTTCTATACATGTGCATGTACAGTATGGTTCATGAAGTGGATTGGTTGGATTGCTGATGGATCAGCGATGTGAAAGAGGTGTAAATATTCTGCAATAAAGTTTAAATGTATCAAATGATGGATTTGTGTGAATATGTGAGAGAATGTGAGACACTTTTCTCACACAATTCATTACAGAAATGTATATGTCTCTTGACGTTTGCTTCATAGAAGCTTCACTTTGTCATGTTGTTGAACTGTTACAAACCACACTTCACATCAATACTGTGTACACACATTTCCATTGATCAAGATCCTCTTGGAACTTTCAACTCAACTTTCAATAGCACGAGGCAACTAGCTGGCAAAGCTCTATCAAGACCGCCGATTCTTCACGATGACTGACACGCCATTGTAAATACAACTCTGCAGGGAAACACCAATTTCAAAGACACTAGGAATTGGATGCTGGATCTTATCAAAGGTCGCAAAGAAACATGCCACCCTGTGAAACACCACAGACCAGTCTAAGTCTGGAGAACAAGTCTATACACAAGGTGTTCCACTCAACAGTAGACCATGCAAAACACAAATCACACCACCACCAATCATACTCAGCATTACTCATTTTGAATGTATTAATGTTGATATCATTTGATGTTTTCAGTTGAATGTATTCATGTTGACATCATTTGATGTTTTCAGTTGAATGTATTCATGTTAATATCATTTGATGTATTCAGTTGAATGTCTTCATGTACATCAGCACCTGCTGACAGGGTATTATTTGACTGTTCAGGCTTTTGAACTATGAATGCAAGTTAAGATCGATTGTAACTCTTACTGACAGTCAACTGGAATTTAGCTTTCAACTGTCATTTGATTTGGCGTGATCTGATTGGCTGATAACAAGTTACACTTGAATGCATACTTGTAATATGAGCCAGTCACAGAGTTCAGATTTCTTTAGTAGCTCATTAAGAGGTAGATCCTGATTGGCTAATATTGACTTGCAATCAATGTAAACTTGAATAATACAGTTTTCTTCAACTGGACCTACATTTAAGTATGAATGTGAATAACTGTATTCATGATTTATATTTCCCTATATGTGAGTGTTTTGGTGAGAAGAAAAATATGCAAAAAATGATGAGCTGATGGGTTCATGCAAAAGATACTGCAATTTGGGATGAAAAAAAAAAAAGTAAATGGATATGAACATTGGCATACTGTTGAAAATACATATGCGTGATGAGTATGTTGCATATTCATTTTTAGTTTGTTTTGTTTCTAAGATAAATTTAAGGGAAGCTGCAAAGTTCTTTTCATGATAACGCAGGTTCAAGTAGTTTCATGGTAAATTTACATGATGGTGTATTAGTAGAATATTGGCCTGCATAGTTTTGTACAATTAGTTAGAAAAGCAAGTTAAAAAAACACACCATCACTAGAAGGGCCCTTCGTCATTCATTCAAACACACTTGGCAGCTAAGATTAAATGTCGTAGTATTGAGATAAATAGTGTTAATAAAATATAAGTGTGATAAATTGGCAGGTTAATATCAAGCATACATATTACATGGGTGATGCACCTGTTGCAATTTTTCAAAATTTGTCTACTGAGAGCCAGAAGGGCATTATCTCTGTGTATAAGTAAATGCCCTTCTGGCTGTAAGCAGTTAAATTGATAGTGAAAACATCTTAATGTTTAATTGATTATAGATGTACATGTACATCCAACACTTACGTATGAACATTTAACAAAAATATTTCAAAACAAAATATCTAAGTATCACATCACAGATTCAAAGAGTAGAACATAAAGTAAAGAAGAAACACTCAAAACAACAAAAAGGAAGAAAACAAAGGAAAATAGCAGGGTGTCTAATAGAAGAGAAATTGAATAATGACAGAAAATAAGTTGTTGGTGAGGTTTACACTTACAGATATTCCAGCTTGTTTTCTAAGCTTTCAAAGGGCTTTGGAGAGACTGGTATAGCAATATCACAGACAGATGTCTTGCCTCCTTTGCTGTCCACTATGGCTAATTTCAGGTAAACTGAGATGAGAAAGGATAGTATTCAGTCAATGATGAATCCACCATCCATTGAAACAATAAATCAACCAACACAGCCTATCAATTCACTAAAAATCAATCAACCAAATGACTAATGATCAGTTAATCAACTAATCTACCAATTATCAAATCAATTTATCTACTAAGAAAACAATCATACTACCAACATCCATTCAATTAATTAATGAATTGATCAATGGATCTCATACCATACAATCTACTCAACTATCTTGTTAAAGTCAATCTAACACGCAATATATACTGACACCTCAATGAAACAGCTTATAATCAAATCACTTAATCAATCAAACAATCAATAATCTGATTAATGAAATAAGCAGTCAATCATTCAATCAATTACACAATCAATCAATCAATCTAACATTCAATAATCTGATTAATGAAATAAGCAATCAATCATTCAATTGATTCCTCAAGCAATTAATCAAACATTCAATAATCTGATTAATGAAATAAGCAGTCAATCATTCAATCAATTACTCAATCAATCAATTAATCAAACATTCAATAGTCTGATGAATGAAATAAGCAATCAATCATCCAATCAATTCCTCAATCAATCATTCAATTAAACACTCAATAATCTAATGAATGAAATAATCAATCAATTAATTACTCAAACAAGCATGCACAAATGAGGAACATAACTATTCAATCAAATTATAAATCAATCAATACACTAAAGAATTGATCATGTAGTCAAATACACCACTAATGCAAGTAATCATTGGAACAATTATGAAATCAAACTCGTTACCATTGTGATGGTTTTCAGCATGCCCTGCAGGAAGTAGAAATCTGACAGAACGGTCCATTCCATAGTAAAGAATCGTCTCAGGGTCGGATTGGTTGAGACTATATCTGACCTCATATTGCAGGGGTGTGTCCTGGTATAAAATGAAACCATCCAGAGGTCATGCAAATGATCATGAGAATCACAGAAACACTAGAAAAAAAGCCTTTTCACAAGATTTGATATTCATTTAGCTACCTAAAACAGATTCCTTCTAATTATCACCAATTAAATAAACTGTATAATTTAAACAACAATTAACATATCCTCTATTAGTTGTCGGCAATACTAATGCATATTGCACTCATAAACTTCCTATTGTTAAAGCAGTGTAAATCCTTAATTATGAAAAAATGTTTACTGTCAATCAATAATGTAATGTATTTATTTAACTTGATCTATACCTTTAAAAGTGTATTTCATAATTTTTTGTGAATAAATAAAAATGGCTTGAAAGAAAGATGCAGCTTGATTTTATTACACTGTAAGCTCCCACTTTTCAAGGCATCTTATTTTTGTAAGTGGGGCCTTCTAATTTGTTGTAAGATAGAATCTGAATTAGTCTTCATCATATTTAATGTGATTGCAAATATCAAAACTAAATGTGAATAAACATGAGTATGTGGAGAATATATGAAAATACATGAGCAGATGTGAAAACTCTATGAGAAGTAACATCAAGTGGATTTTCAAACTGATAAGTTACCAAAATACACGTCAGCATATGATTCCTACCTCATCATTCCATGAATGGCAAGCGGCAGAAAAGATTGTATCCAATTCAGTACCACTGTCGGGCGAGATGGAGCATATCCCCAGCTTAGGAGCTTCGTTCACCGTTACATACTGGAATGCTTCGGCCCTCACCCCGGCGCTTCCATCTGCATTACGGAAAAGATAATAATTGCCTTCATTATAAATCTTTATATACCTCACTTTAGAAATCTAGCCATCTCATTGGTCGAAATTGGAGTCGTGATTTTAGCCATGCCCGCCTACCAGTCAAAAGTCTTTTAAAAAGGCCCTAATGCTGCGATCCTCATTGGTTTTAACGTGTTAAAATTGTCTTTGTGCGAGTGCCAAATGATTGAAACTTTCAGTCATTTTTCCAGCGAAGATTATTAAACAGACAGTGTCTCAGATTTCCTGTAATGTTTTAACCAATCTTTACTCAATAAAAGGATAATGACCTTTTGCTTAAAGTTATACAATATGGCAACATTTAGAACAACAACACAAAATAAATTAAAGTAATGAAAAAAGGGTTTTCATCTTTTCAGATGTCTTTTGAGACTAAATTTGAAAGGGGGCAAAGTTTCCGGCATACCATCGGTAGGACGGAATGGGTTTTAAAAGGGGGACATGAGGCAATTGAATTAGAGTTGCTATTGATTCGAATTAATTACAACTTGACATTTATTCCAACTGTGTACTTAGAGAGATATGGGAGAACGTAGATTGACTGGAGGACTTGTCATTGATTCAAATCAACTGCAACTTTTCAAAAGACGGGGCCATGATCCACACTCACCCTCTGGATATATCTTGACACCAACTGCGTAGGTCCGACCTTCCTCGAGAATACCAGGCCTCAGGGTGAACTGTTTACCCTTCAGTCCTGACAAGGTCGAGTCTTCACTGATGACCACTGCTTGGGATGATCGGGATACAATGTGCTCCTCGTTCGTGGTTGGGTTATTGGGGTTAGCCACCCCATCCCCGTCGGCTTCACTACTCTGTAGACTGGAATCTCCTGTTCAAAGACAAGTCAGTTTGAGTTTTCATTAAAGGCTTGATCAAATATGACTTGGCAAAACTGAGCCGAGCCTAAGTTTGTCAGTCTCTACATGTTACCAGCTATAGTACATGGCTTATGGAGTGCAGTAGACCAGAAAGTCTCTTAGTTCAGACACTCTATTATGCCCTAAGACTGACAAGGATTGGAGCCTAATTCACCTAATAACAGGATATTACAGATTATGGAAAATAAGACTTCATTTTTCCTACTTACAAGTCTTACATAATGCATGCTTCATTTACAAATTTAAGACGAGCAACTCCCATTGGAGATATATCTAACAATAAACTCCTAGGCAAAATCATACTGAATGCTCCCTGATCTCGATTCGGACATGTTTCAAACAATCCTGAATGTTTTGGTGGCCCAGAAGAAGTCTCCATACCTTTGCATAGAAGTAATAATAATTATATGTGCTTATATAGCGCCTAACACTTACTTTATCAGAAGTATCTAAGCGCTCTACAATAATGCGGCATAATTACCCTGATTTAAGCAGAATAGCTGTCACACGCTCTGTGTTTCAAGGAATAAATTCCTATCAGGTTCCCATTTACAAGTATGTGAAATATAAAAAAAAATACATCTACAGTGTACATCATTTTCAAGGATATATGATAGATTGACTGAGAAAGAATAATCATATATTTACTCACCTCCTTCATATACATCAGATGCTGGAAAATGAAATAAACACATAATTTGATTTGTTATCCATATATGTAATGTCTAGTAGTTTTATTCATATACTCATTTTGGCGGGCAATTTTGATTCATATACAGTATGAAACACACAAAGGATGGGATCCTCCTCATTAAAGTGGTTTATATATTTTTTCTAAATTCACTCTATCCATCGAGATATTAAGCATATGAAGCCAATAATTTCCATGACTATGGGAACACTGATTACATAATGATACTGACTGTACAAAAATGAATGACAAATTTTTATCCGAAAACCCATAAAAATGAAAAAGAAAAAAAACATTAGCCAATTTCCATATCAATTTTTTGTCTCATTTTTGGATGAAATAAAAGGGAAGTAGACAAATGTCATACAGAACAAAATTTAGTGAATAATCTTTCCACATCCATTAAGAAAGGATAGTTCATGCAACTTTAAGCATTATTATGAAAATTAAATATATATTATATCTATATTATGTCCACTTACAATAGTCTTCGAAAAGGGAATCATCTCCTTCTTGGATAGAGCTACCGTCATCATTGTTGCCATTATCCCCAGGAGATTGTGGAGTAGTGGTGGAGGATCTGGTTGTTGGTGACCCTGAGGTGGTGGTGTTGGTAGTGGGTCTGGTAGAGGGTGTGCTTTCCTCCTCATTGGCGGAAGAATCATCAGGGTATTCATAGTTACTGTCGGAGTAGTCTTCGAGGATGCTGTCCTCGTCCGATGGCTGATGGGTCGTCGCTTCTGCTTCTTCTGTAACGGATGTGGCGCCCTCTGATGGGGTGGACAGGTCAGAGGTCGCCAGCAATCCTGTCGATGTCGGGAGCATGGTGGATAGGTCAACAGTTGCAGGCTCTTCTTGGATAGAGGATGATGCCACCTCTGCCACGGAAGAAGAGCCGAAAGATTCAGCGATGGAAGAGACATCGTCTGCAGCTTCTGCAAAAGCATCCGATGATGAAGACAAACCCTCTGCAATACCTGTACTTGATGATGATGAAATGGTCTCCCCGGCGAAAGAGGAGGAGGAGGCAGCTTCAAGGAATCCAGACCTCCCTGCCACAGCAGACACACTCTTGTTTGTAGCGGTCCCACCTTCACCAGCATCCAGAGAATCATCTTTCGTCAGATCATCAGAGTGATTGTCCAGCTTGGTTTCAACTATTGTGGAACTGTCCTCGAAGACACTCGCAAAGACACCACCTTCATCACCAAAATACTCCGCAACACTGCTACTGCTAAAATCCTCTTGAAATGAAGACTGGGCAACTGATTCCGCAATAGAGGAGGATGACGACCAATCAGGACCTGGTATGAAGATAAACAGAGAATATTACATTAACAAAAACTCCTTGATAAAGACGGCAACTTGTCTTTGATAAAACAATGTTATATTCTTTTTCACGTGAAGTTAATTCAAATGTATTGTAAAATTGAAAATGATTTGTCATCTTATATTAATTTTTCATGTGATGTTAACTTCAATGAATTGTGAAATTGTGAACATGAATAAATAAATAAATAAATAAAATAAAATGCAGCCTCTTTGCAAATCGTGTAAGACAAAAGATATCACAATATTTGTTGACTTAAAGAGTACCAATCACCTAGAAAATATGGAATCAAGCTCAATTCTTTTTACCAAGCATTCAATAGGTCAACCATTAAAAATTGCAAAGGAATAAAAGAAAACATGAAACCTTACATATCTGGTAACTTATGGGACACGAAATGACCACATAACTTGAATATATATCTACAAAGCGCTTTGAGAGGGTATGCGGTCCTAAAAAGCGCTAAATAAGAATGAACTATTATTATTATTATCAATTTTCAGTAAAACAAGTCAACATAGGTCAATAAACGACTAAAGAAAACATCTTTACCTGACTGAGATGACGTAGTTGAGCGACTCGCCGGAGAAGAGGAAGGACTCATCGTTGGTGTACTGGGTGTCGAAGATTCGTTCCCAGAACTTGGACTTGTCCCTTGCCCATCTGAATGACCTGTCGATCCTGTTAAACTTGCGTGACTGGATGTAGAACTTTGGGATGGGTTGGAAGTGTGGACAGGGCTTGGGCTGGATGATTGTTGCATTGGTGTGTTGGATGTGGCTGAGACTTGACTGGTAGCCGTGTTCACATGCGATGAAGTGAGTGGAGTCACAGTGGTCTGTACAGTCGTTCCGCTGTCCGCTGGACCCGATCCATCAGCGTGAATGCATCTAGAAGCTGTATAATGGAGGGTCCAAACATGTACAGAGTCTTCAACCACATATCCAAGCTCACAATGAGATCAAACATCATAAATACCAAATCTTTTAAGTGTCATTTTACAGTTATTTTAAAGGAAACAGATTTGTAAGAATCAATCACAGAACAAGGAGGTGTTTTAAAAGATATTTCCCTTCTTCATTATTCACCTACTGTAAAAATACAGTGACTAGCAGAATTCTATACTTGACTATCAACACTTCATCAGGTACACACAGACGTACTTTGTGATTATATCTTACCCTCTATCAGCCCAAACAACTCACAAACGTTTCCTACTAAAAATAACCATAGTAATTTTATAATAGCCTTATTAAAAATCTACAATTCGATATTTACAATTTACAATATTTACAACAAAATGTTAAATCTGAAATAAAGGAATGGAGGGGTTAGTGCACTTACCAGAGCTTGTATACGTTGTGCTACCATCCCATATGACAAACAGCTCCCACACGAAGGTGACATTATCTCCACAAGTTGGGCACAACGCCTCAAGGGTAAGCTCTGCATTAGAGTTGACAATGCCTTCGTCGCACGACGGGCAATCAACTAGAAGTCTAATTTGAAAAACATTCAAATAAGAACAGGTAAGTTTTACACATTGTTTTTTCTACAAGATATGTGAGAGATAGTTGTCATTGTAATTTTTTAGCAATCAAAACTTCTAGACATTTTACCCAAGTGGCATGCAACTGCAACTGACTACTGAATTTGTACATTACCATACGCTTAATGCAGGGGCGACCCGGTTCCAGCAATGGGTCAACAAGTCAGCTTTCCATGCAGACCTGCCAACCTCTAAAGTTCAAAAACTGTATGCTTTAATTCCAAAAGTTGTATTTTACTGACAACAACTGTATTAAAATTTAAAAATCACGGATCAATGCCTATTACAGTTCCTACAAACAGGAAGAATTTTTTTGTAAGGATCATTGGTTGAATATGCATAATTTCTTCATGACTGGTGTGTTTGTTAATTCCAAAAGTTGTATTTTACTGACAAAAACTGTATTAAAATTTAAAAATCACGGATCAATGCTTATTACAGTTCCTACAAACAGGAAGAATTTTTTTGTATGGATCATTGGTTGAATATGCATAATTTCTTCATGACTGGTGTGTTTGTTGAACCAATGACCATCCCCAAATTGCCGATGTGAGATGCTTGTAGGATACTTTACAGGACAAAATGGGCATTTTGCCATTGAAAACGGCACACACACACACACAAAAAAAATAATAATAATTTTAAAAAAAATAAAACTCGTACTGTCGTTTTTACTTCTAAAAATTGTTTGAAATACGATTAAATCATACTGGTTGGCAGGTCTGTCCATGTCTCTTAGTTTTGGTAGTCTTCTTTAATATAGAAGACAAATCAAAATGCTGTACCATTATATTTAGTCACCACCTAGGAAGTCAAAAGTTGTCACACAACATCATTGCTGACCCAGCAGATACTTACTCGTAGATCTGTTCATTGGAAACAACCTTCAGGACCTGGGAAACATAATCTGGTTGCCTGCCTTCTTTGCTGACTGTGAGATAGAAGACAAACTGGAAGGCTACGTCCAGCCTGAGCCAGGCCGCTGGGAACAACAAGGAACCGTTGGTGGATGGAACTGGGGCGGTGCCATTGGAGAAGGTTGATGGATCAAAGCAGGGCTCGGTAGGAATGTCTATCGGATGACAAGTCCAGTTGTATCTATATTGCACACAAAACACAAGGACCAAAACTTGTTGAATTTGTTTTGCAGAATACAAAGTATGTGTATGTCAGTACCAAACACAACGGTTCAACAATTTTACCTTCAATGAATCATCTGTTTAAGACTTTGAGGGAAAGACTAGGGGAGAAGGTATAAATGAAAAACTATGTATTCACTAAAAGCAGAAGGGACAAAAAGCAAAAATCAGAAAAACAATAACAACTAGAATTTCAAACATTTCTCATCTTTTTAAAACAAATATCAATATACCAGTTTACTGTATCTTTTCAAACACTTTTGTTGATGATAGTTTTGTAAATGCAAGTTGATGAACTTAATGAAGTATGATTTGTGTCTGAATAAATTAAAACTTTTCTATCCATGTCACAAAATTTAATTCTGTTAATATCAACAGCCTTCTTACTGTAGGTCTGAATCTGAAGGATGGTCTGGGTCTAGAGAAAATCCAGCATTGATGTAAGCCAGAGTGTTCCTATCGATGGTCCTCGTTGTACCCCCCTCGATGACTGCAATCAAGGGACTTTCCCTGATCGTTAGACTCATGGATGTCCTGGAATATACTATCGTGTTGTTCATGCGCACCTGTAAAAAAGGAAAGAAGTGAAACTTCAGTAAATATTTTTAAAATGTATTTGATTGATTATGTAATTTAAAGGTACTATGTCCCATTTGCAGGCCAAAAAATGAAAAGGTTAAATTCCAACGGCATTTGAAAGATAAACGTAATTTAGAACTTCCCTAAAAAAGGTTAGGCTTGAAAATGTCTTCAAGTGGGAAAATAACGACTATCAGTTGTCAAATTGACTTAGGAGCAATAGACCCAATAAGTAATAGTCTTGATTTTCAGACCATTGTACCGAATATTCATACGTTTTATGCTGCGCAAAGATTCAATCAGTTTAATTTTGGCCATCTCAAGAAGTGGGTTATTGATGTAGACAAATGCTCATGTACTCAGATAGTGAGCAAAGCTGCCCTTGAAGATTTATAATTTCTTGTCCGTCTATCTGATAATAGTCATGGTACAATACAGTTTGTCTAAAATTGACAGGCACTTTCTTTTAGCATGGTGACAGTGGTGGGATGAAGATACTGAAAACAAAAGCTTCTCCCAGCTTTCGGTTCCCGTAAGCAATGGGTTAAGCCAGGTTTACTAAAGGCTTAAAAAAAATATGATCCTTTACCTCTGTCGTCACAGTGTATGACCCGATTGGGACGACGTGACTGGGTATATAGAGTGTTCGCTTGTCAAGAGATGCTATCATGGGATTCAACACTAGAGGGCTCCCGTCTACAGCATCGATGAGGGACCACTGGTAGGTTGTTTGTTGTGTGATGTCACAATCGATGAAGACCTCGATCTCCAACTTCACCGGACTGGAAAAGTTAATCTGGGAGCAAACAGAGGGAAATTGATTATATTGAATGGATCATTATACCATGCAATGATTTCATATCATTATCAATGAATTATCCCCTACAAATACATCTCACAACTAGGATTTCATCAGACAAGTTTTTAATCACGGATTTATTTTTTAAATTTACATGGTATTAGACACTTCCAATCATGAATCGTTTTTGAATATCAAGAAAACAGACAATCATTTCAGTCCCCAAAACGTAGATGTGAAAAATTATGGTAGTTAATGCAATTATGTGTACTTTGCTGAAAGGGTTCAACTATTCGTTCATGTGACTAATAGGAAGGACTTCGAATCTAGTCCATCATTATTTTACAATACTCAACCAACATTTTCTATCTATATTATTTTTCCATTTATTCCTCTAAAGGTATGGGGTAATCTCTTTATTTTAATGCTCCAATATATGAATGTGCATGAACATAATCTATCCAAACTTTCTCTTGATCACCCAATCTCCACCCTTTTATGTATGTCTCTCTTTCTCTCACTTTTGTATCCCCCTTCCTCTTTTTATAGTACATGTACCTTTCTGGTGTTCCTTCTATATATCTCACTCTTTCACTCCCCCCCTCAATAACTCAGAAGCCAGAATGTGTTACTGAAAATGACTGATCATTGGACTTACCATTCTATTTGAATCACCAACAATGTAGAGCTCCGGAGTAAGACATGGTTCATCCAAGATGAATATATTGGTTGAAGCACTTGAGTTGCTCACATCGTTGATCGCAAACAAGTTGATGAAATACTCCCCGGTCCTGAAAGACATTAAGGAAAGGTGTATTGTTCACACATTGCACTTATGTAGAAGAAAAAGGATGTACCGTATGTAAACGACATATTCATCAACCAATCACTTTTGCTAACATTTTTCCAAGTACGTAGAAAAGTGATGAATATGTGTACAGCATATATTAGCTGAGAGGTGATGTACCTTCAATATTTTGGTGATTCAGACACACATATAGAATACAGTAACACTTCTGAGCAAAGCAGTACTCTTTTTTTTACAATTAGTCCGTTTTACAATGGCTCTGTCTCTCAGCGAAAAATATGAGCCTACAATAGTTGTGTGTCTGTCATGATTTCAGCTTGGTTTTCAGTCAGGGACCTCAACAGGGGAGATAAGGTAAACCAGTGGTTGTTGGTTAGAGTCCAGCGAGGGTCGATGACCGAAGCCTGTGTTATGTGGTTAAAGGGAACCAAAACCTTCATACTAAGTTACTTTTATTGTAAAGTTTAAGTTATTTGAAAAATATCAGTGAAAATTTGAACAAAATCAGGCAAGGAATAAGGAAGTTAGAGCTTTTTGAAATGACTAGTCACTAGAGGGCGGTATTCAATTTGATGACATCATCTGTGGACAACTCTCCGTGCCTTTTGTACATCAAATTTCATGTTTTTCCTTCTTTCTTGTGATTGAGATAATTTACTCCCCTGAAAGCAAGATATAGAATGCAAAATGATATTCTACTTCACATGTTATGAAGTTGGATTAAGAACACAAATAAATACAAAGAAAACGAAAAAATAGACATGGGTATAATACAGTGGAGAACAATTCATCCTAAGGATAGGATAAGAAATGGAAGCCCTGTTCGTAGGAGAGCCACTATCTATGTGCATTCATAACCCACTACACTCTTTGTCAAAGAGTTGGAAGAACACCCAGTGTAGTGATACACCTGCACACCTCCAACCAGTTCAGTTGTACCAGGATTAGAGACACTGGGGTCTACAATTACTTGCAGTTTACTTTTCCCCTCCCAAGCACAAGCCACACTGAATACTTAAAGGCATTGTTCAACAATGTTTTCAGTTTTACAAATCTGAAATGCATGGCCTTACGTGTTATCAGTGTCTGTGATATGGTGTAATATTGAAGCCATAAAAAGATGAAGTGCCTCAAAAAAGTAAAAATCTTTGAGTGACCGGTTTTACCATACCGGTACTCATTTTCCCTAATAGATTGTAGTATAGTAAAAACCATTGGAAAAACATTTTTAGAAATTTCTATTTCCAATCATTCCTGACTGGCCTAAAGGTTTATAATTATGATTGCAGCATGAGCTAAATCCAGGATTTTGTTTAGAATCTGAAGCAAAGTTACCCAATCCCTTTAATAATAATAATAACATACAGTACCTGTTGTATGAGTGCACAATAACGGACTGCTCTGTGACAACATCTGGGGAGCCATCACCAAAGCTCCAAACATACTCAATGTTGCTTCCGGAGTAGACCTGAACCTCCAGGACTGTCCTTTGCCCATAGAGAGCGGGAGCCGACGTTGTGATGATCATGGTGCCGATGCGTGCCTGCAGGGTCATCTCCACAGGGTTGGATGTAGCGTTGCTCATGTGGTTGCCCGCTTCGACTGATATGTAGTAGCTGTAGGGGAGAGGATCACGAGTGAAACATGCAATGATGGTATTCTTGGATGTGTATGTTGCGTCATGCAATACAAGAATGGAATATGGTTATGATCATATGTGATGATCATTATTGGTCAAATTATGTTGCACAAAATCGTTACAAAATTCTCATCATCATTAATCTCCAACATCATCTCCAACATCATCATCATCATCATTACAATCATCCCAATCATCATCATAATCTCTAATATCATCATCATTTTCATCACTATCATCATCAACATCATCTCCATCATCATCATCATCATCATCTCCATCATCATCATCATCACTATCATCATCATCGTCATCATCATCGTCATCATCATCGTCATCATCATCTCCATCATTCTTTGACTTTTCAGCTATATAGAAAGTGTATTGACACTGTTTATTATAGCAATGAAAGAATCTATGTAAATTCCCACAGATCAATCAAGATTCAAGATTCATTCAGTACATTATTGCATCATCAGAATAAATTTAACATGCAAGAGTCCACACACGTACAAGCACCAGAAATGTAAACAATGGAAGCCCCAATAATAATGATAATTTCCACTCTTATCAAAGATTACCAACAAGTTATGATATGACAGTAACAAAGTGACTTACATGCCAGGGAGGGCATAACGGTAGGTCAACGTATTGATCGATGTCTGCCGGATAGGAAGTCCGTTACCCAGGTCCCATCGAAACCACTTGGCACTATTAGCAGGGGTCTCGGCTGTGAAGAGTAGATCAGTGTATGTCGTTGCTAGCTGACTCTGAACCTTCAGGTCAACGACTAAAGAAAGGTGAAAAATAAAATTCAAATTAAATTAATAATGTTGCAGCCAGCAAATGGATATTTTAGCTGGCTTTACAACTTTAGCTAAATAATTAAGAATAGATGCTGAGAGGTTTGAATTTGAGGGGAAAATATATTGCAACCACCTAAGGGCCATATCGATCAGCAAATTATGAAATTATTATTATACAATTAACAAATGAAACTGTCAATTTCTGATCAACTGTGAACACAAAAATAGATCGGCTGTTGCAAGCATCATGTGTTTGTAAAGTACTTTAATACCAATCACATTTCTTTTTTCTATTTTAACATTAAAGGCTGATGGTACACGCTTACTGGAAAATAAGGGTAATTCTTCAGACACATAAAATTGTTGCACTTACAAGAAACAAAGTTGACAATATCCACGGTGCATGCTGTCTGAAGACTCTGTACTTTGTTGAATGCAACCACAGTGACATTATAGCTTGCAGCAGTACGGTATACATGAGTGACAGAAGGACCTAAAAACAGATATTAGGAGAAACAAAAGAAATTATAAGGTACACATGTGGGTAACAATCAGGAAATTATAATGATAATATTGGGTATTTAGGATGACTAAAGGTATCATAATGCTTAAAGTTCTGAAGCTAAATGGAATTGTCTGAAAGCTGGATGTTGTTAAATGCAGATGTTATGAAACATTTATAGTTGTGGGTAGTCCGGGTATAGACAATCATGAAACCAGAAACTGGATGAAACCCTACTACTAGGTCAGCGGCACTGCTGCAGTAGCAGCTTTTTCTTTCTTACATACGCTATTTTCTATAAAGAATCGTCATAGTTGTGGTCTAGATGATATATCTCCAGATTATGGATCACAAGGTAACAGGGTACAAATCCCTACAATAGCTCTCACATCCTTTTGTCAGACATTATTCTATATTTGCCACCCTCCACACAGGTGAAGTAACTAGGCACCTGGTAGAGGAAATCCCTTAAAAATGCAAGAGAGCCCATCACATTAGTTTGGCTAAACCCAGGTAATGATAGAACAGTACTTAGACAAATTAGTATTAAGTGCTACATTGTACAGTCAGACCTGCTTTAGTGACCACCTGTATAGAAAGACAACCCGTCTATAAAGACCACATTTTTTGTTTCCCTTGAATATGGTTTTTCATCAAAACCTGTACTGAAGGGACCTGCACATGAAGACCACCTGCCTATAAAGACCACTTTTCTTCTCTCCCTTGGGTGGTCTTTATATACAGGTTTCACTGTATATTGTTTAGCAAGTATGATCAATTAAGTGATGGTTAATTAGTATAAAATATTATTACTTTTAATTATTATGATTACTAACCTGCAAACAAGTAGTTGGTTTGGTCTCCCATGGACCAATTGAAGAAGAGATTATTTCCTTCATCCACTGTCACGGTCAGTATGGACATGTTACCGAACGGGAACGTGTAGACAGGATGGTCAAAGTATAGCCCCGTAGGAGAGATCACAACGATGAAGGGTGTCCCCAGCGACTGGCTGACGTTGGTTAGGAGATTGTAGGCTGTGACGCTGACATGGTATTCGCCCTCTGTGTGTGAGAGAGTGTGTGAACTGGAATATTAATTATTTCATATTCCATATTGATGGTCAAAGGAAAGACCAGTAAGAAAGATCACAATGATGAAGGGTGTCCCTAGAGACTGGGAGACGTTGGTTATGAGATTTTAGACTGTGACGCTGATATGAAATTCACCCTCTGTGTGAGAGAGAGTGAGAGAGAGAGAGTGAAGGGGAATATTCCTTATTTTGTATTTCATATTACCGGTATGCACTTTGTTTCCTAACACCTGCATAACACTTGAGGATTCAGCTTGAGATTGTAATAAACTGTAACCATAACATAACTACAAGTAGTCCGTTGAGAACCTGAGGGTGTTAATGGAAAGGAAACGGCCAAGGAGACGATAAGTGGCATAACAACCTACCTTCTGTGTAAACATGGGTGCCTAAACCATAGTAATTGCTGAATAGACCCAGCTGTCCTTCGATCACCTCCTCATAGCCGTCTCCGTAGTCGAAGGCAAAACTGATGTGAGAGCCCCAACACAGGGCACGGAAGACTACAGGATCAGTCTCCCAGTCGCCTGCATCAGTCTGCTCCAGGGATGCCCAGTTGTTGCCCTCATAAACCTGTAATGAAAGCAACATCGGCCAAGATATTCACTATCTGTCTTCAATATGTCCTCTTTATTTCACCTCAGACAAAGGCATGTCATTTAACGTATCATGAGGTATAACATAGCGGTAGCTTTGTGAATGAAATGGCATGAAAAGAAGTGCCTGGAACGCAAAGGCCCAAATTCACAAAGTAGGTTTAACTTAACCCATGGTTTAAACCCTCATTTACATAATCCATGGTTTAAAGATTAGCGCAACATAAGTGTACCTTGCCTTGGGCGCGTCTAATATTGGACTTCTGCATGTCTCACGATTATGCATACCTGCCAACCTGAGACAAGAGAAATTAGGAGTAAATTTTTCTGGATGGACTACGAGGTCGCGAACCACCGAAGGATTGGGGTAGTAGCCCGTAGATTGGGGGGGGGGGGGTACACATGGGGTGACTGCGGAACTAACGATCACGTTCGGGCTGCGCTGTGTACATCTTCTATGAGCGCAAGCGCGGATGTCGGCGTGATCTGGTTATCAGTGCTGTGTTATGCTTTAGTCTTATACATACATACATACATATTGGTATTTATTGAGCGCCTTTACATGAACATGCTCAAGGCGCTTTACATTTCAAAATACAAACATAATAGTTATATACTCTCCAAGTGCATTACACTCTAAAAATAAAAATTTAAAAAAAAAAAAAAAAAAAAAAAAAAAAAAATTAAATAAATTAAATTTTAAAAAAAATCGAAGTTTTGAGGGATGCAATCGGAATTCGGAGTTGGTATGAAAAATGCGGAGGAACTCCGCCTAAATCGGGGTGGTTGGCAGGTATGATTATGTTGCGCTAATTTTAGACCATAGGCTTTGTAAATGAAGATTTAAACCAGAGGTTAAATTTAAAATTCCTTTGTGAATTTGGGCTACTGTGCATAATTGTTGGAAATCATATGTTCATGCCATGTCAATAGGACACAGAGCTAGTAATAATCTCAATTACCTTGATTAGACTTTGTATCACAAAAAATAATGTCATCTCAACATTTAAATTAGATTTTATATTATTCACAGATGTCTTCAATTATGTTTTTTTCAGCAAACCTTTTTATGCCGACGTTTTGCTAATCTACCAAAGTTACAAGTACGTCTTTTGGACATCTCCATAAACCCTTGATCAAGCCAACAATGCTCTTTTCATGGATGTACATTTATTTAACATTTTAATGATTCAATCAGTCAGTTTGGTCATATCAAAAGATTTTCATGTTCAGATGAAAAAAATAAATAAAGGCGTCTGTAGGACTAGTCTTACGATATCAACATCCAATACTCACGCTAAGTTCCAGAGCTATAGGTACTTGTTGGACCACGAAAGGTGTGGGGTAGTGATAGATCAGGGGATTCTGCTGCAAGGCATTCCTAGCACTCACACTGATGTAGTATTCTCCAGGCATACCGAAAGTGTGGAGGACTGCACTGTAACTCCCATTGCTAATAAAGCGTTAGAGAAACAAAGATTTGTTAATGACGAGGAAATTAATAATATGTCACATAAACCAAGGTACTAAGAGTTCCCCACACATGACCAAACAAATATCTATTGTCAAATTATATGCAGAAGACATTAAGTGACATATATTTTGAATGAAGCCAACAGAACAATATTCATCTGAAGATTCAAGTGTCATCAAATCTATAAATGTAGATTGAACTCGATGATAAAAGAATATCCAATTTCTCAAAGGGCAAAGGCAATTTGACTTGGTTTAAACCAAGAATAAACATGTTCTCTAATTAAAATCACTTAGCCAATCATGTACTTACTTGTGTTTAGTGGTGAAATTAATTAAGCAAAAAGTGATGGCTACATGTAATAGAATTATCTAGATAGACGGCGCTATATAAATGCCTATTATTATTATTATTATTATTATATGCACAGAAGCTTCCTTAATCCTTTTGACAAATGAAATAAACAAGATGGTCCAAAAATATCACAGATTTTACTCTGAATATGTAGTAATAATGATAATTAATTGTTTTTGTATAGCGCATAAATACATAGGCATACTTGCATGTCTCTATCTGCTTTACAGAATAAAATACAGGAGTTGAAAAGGTGTATTGGATTCATAATTGTAAAGTCTTACAAAGAGCTAAATAGATATGTTTTCAAAATACTTCTGAACTTTCTATATGTTTCTATATTTCTAAGGTATTCCAAAGCCATAAGTATATCTTAAATTATCATTATTAAAATTTTAAACTGGAACTTCGGCGAAAACACACCTTTCAGCTGCATTTCTGATTCCATTCTTACCTGTGAATGACCGTTGTGGGTCCTGTCATATCATTGAAATCCCACGTGAAAACGATGTCGTTGCCAGTAGCAACGGTGGCCTCGACGGTGATGTTGTCAACAGCATTGACCAGCCACGAATTTGCTGTTACGATCGTAAGCCCTGTGATCCTCTCTTCCACTCTCACCACTGTAGAGCCATCCATGTCGGAAACACCATTGGAAACCGTTGCAGCAACTGCGTATTCACCTAGGTCTGCGTAGTGTTTCGACAAAGCAAAGACATACGTTGCTGGCAGGGTGGAATGGTCAATCGACTCAACGGACATGTCTGGAGAATCGGACGTCACTTCAGCTGCCGTGCCGTCCCCAAAATGGACGCTGAATGAGAATTCCGGTCCGCCTTGTACTCGAAGTAAGATGGTAGAGTTTAGTCCATGTAGAACGGGACTACTGGATAGAACGAGACTTGTGATTGGCTCTCGGAGGGTGGTTAGGGTGTGAGTCGAGGTACGGGATATCTCATTGGAGGCCGTGACAGTGAGGTTGTAAGTTCCTGGCATGCTAAATGGAATATAGGCCTATAGTTGAATTTTAAAAGAGGGAAAACAACGGGGAAAAGATGATGAAATATTTCAATTTCATCAATGCAAACAGATGATATGAAAATAAATGTTTCACAAAATAATAAGCTGAGAATTAATGCGATGTTATCAAACTCATATATAATTTGATCTATTGCTCTATAATCCTTCACACAATTTGAGATATTGGAAAACAAATTTAAAAATCAGAATGAAATAAACCCCCATCTTTTTTTCAACAACATGTAATACTACACCATCTTTTTGCATCCATTTGACAATTCATGACATCATGTAAGAATAAAGATCATATAAACTGCCCATAAATCAAAGCAACCTGTAAAGTACACATAGGCCTCTAGAAGAAAAACCAACATGAGAACTTGGCAATTTAATCTGATTAATGGGAAGCCTGAGATGAATTTGGCTAGCAACAATAGAAAATAAGTGTGTCAAATATCAATATAAAATCACATCCCACAGGGTAATTGAAGCTTGTTAAGTAAGACTTGGAACCTAACTCACCAGCGTGTTGGTTCCTCCGGTTGTCATCCTGTAGTTACCAGAATCGGATGATGAGTTGGACACGAGAGGGACAATCACCCAGTCATACCTGATACTTGAGCCAGAAGAAGGCCTTAGTTCCCATGTCAGAGTAGTTAAAGGCCTGCAAAGACAGTCGTGCAGGGGGCGTTTCACAAAGCTTGTCATCAGTGACAAATGACAGTTTTTGTTATAAGCTACTGAAATCCTTGCTTCTGATTGGTTATCAGTAGATTTGTCACTGATTTTGTCGGTTGTCATTGAAAAAATGCTTTGTGAAACGGGTCCCTGAATAGCATCAAATCAACAGGATCTACAAAACATGCTCTGAAGCGATTGATCTGCATTTAATATTAATCTTCAACCCTAAACTAAATATTATACATACATGTAAACCTATGACTAAAAATTAATCCTTAACCTAACCCTAGACCCACCTCGAAACCTAACACTAAACCTTACCCTACACCTAACCCTAAACTAACCCTAAACCTAACCCTAAACGTAAACCTAAACCTAATCCTAAACCTAATCCTAAATCTAACCCTTCCTACTTTTCTGTGATACTGTATATAATAATAATAATAATAGCTCACATTTATAATGTGCCTAATACTTTGTTTCTAGGCGCGGAACATATTATTACCCGGTCATCGGATTCAGGCTTACCCGCACACAAGGTATGCACATTCTCCACTCCCTGGGGAGCATTCCAGCCAGTCGCCATTTTACAAGCGCCATTGCTAATCAAACCACATTAGCTTTCGCATCCTACCGGGTACCCATTTTAACACCTGGGTGGAGAGTGGCAAATGTAGATCAATGTCTTGCCAAAGGACATTAGTGCCGCGACGGGACTTGAACCGCGGACCTCGTGATCCACAGTCCGGTGACATATCCACTCGACCACGACACCTCTACTGCATTTGCAAGCTTTTTAAATTATGGTTGGAATTGACAAATATACGATACGCGATACCTGAACTTACCACACAAATCTGGACAATAGGGGACCCAGCACGCTGATGTCCGAAACACTCTCTTGGACACTGACCACCGAAGTGGACTGGACAGTTTCATTGTCCATGTCCACAGCAACAATGTCCACCAACCAGACCCCAGGGACGGAGGATGAGTGTGACCAAACCACTTCCGGGATGGGGCTTCGTATCGGCATGGTAACCGTCTCCGAGCTGGTGCTGTTGTATTGGTAGGTGACTTCTAAGCTCTGTATGGAACGCCCAGAGAGAAGCTAAATGTAAAAACAAAAATGAAAAATATAATAATAATGATTATAATGATGATGATGATGATGATGATGAAGATGATGATGATGATGATGAAGATGATAATGATGATAATAATGATCATATTAATAATAATAGTCAACCCTTCATGTACCTATGCACTTCCAAAGAAGTTTGCATATTATTACCCTAGCTTTAGCTCCAGCAGCGATAATCATCGCACAGTGCATTCCAAGGAATCAATCATGCTAAGTACCCATTTAACGCCTGGGTGGAGAATGGCAAATGTGGATCAATGTCTTGCTAAAAGACGTTGGTGTCAGGCTGGGATTCGAACCCTCAACTCTTGGATTGAGAGTCAAGTGAATAAACCACTGTTACCATAACACCACCAAAATAAAGACAAAGATAATGAAATGGGTATCATGTCATGTGAAACAGTTAAACACACATGAAATTTATGAATTTTTGCTTCTTTGGGGAGCTCTTCTTTTCATCATATCGTAATCCCACCATATAAATCATAAAGCATAGCAATCCTTCAGTAATAAAATACTGAATGGATACTGCTAATGTGTACATGTAGCTTTATGTAAACATGCAGTACAGGAAAGTAATATTCCAATGTTGTGATGACCTACAGTTAGGAACTATCCCCAGATATGCAGTTAAGAACTGAATCTATCATACTCCTTCTAAATTTGATGTTTTTAGTGCTTTTTGTAACTCAAGAATAAAACATGGAGTTGGTTGAGGTAGGGCTTTTGTTGAATACTTTAAGGTGTAAGTTTTAATATGTCACATTCTCAAGAAACAGTAACCAGGACAAATCAATTTGGCATATATACTTAAAAATTAATAAACCTGGTAAGGATATTACTAATTTAGTTTTCACTGTAAACCAAAATTATCCCCTCTCTAGAGCTCTTTCTCTCTCCCTATCTCCCTCCTTCCCTTCTCTCTTGCTCCCCCTCCCCCCTCCCCCCTCCCCCTCCCCCCTCCCCCTCCCCCTCTCTCTCTCTCTCTCTCTCTCTCTCTCTCTCTCTTCCTCGGTCCCTCTCCCTCTCTTCAAGTCTTCAAGAAAATTAATATTTTCCTTCCTTTTTTTAATACATATTCCAAAGAAATTCTAAAAGTGCAAGTTGTTTGGGAAAAGTAACCAAACTGTTTAACTATGTTTACAATGGTATCAAATTTAGCTCTCTATCATGACAATGGTCCTCAATTGTTGCATATCTACAAAAAGTCCATTGTTTTCAAAATAGCAATATTTGATTCATTAAACAGAAATAATAACAGCTGCCAAGTTATTTCGCCGTATTAATTCTCAGTGCGAATAATGTCCTATTCCGGAATCCTATCCAATTATATTATATAGAAGGTAAATAAGACGCTTGCCAAATTTGTGATCACATGGACGGAGCATGTTCGCTAAATGTGACCAATCGGAACATCGCAGGGAGGGCAATCTTCACATACAATTGTCTCTAAACAAAGAACAAGAAACGCAACATGCTTGGCACCCTGACAAATTTACGCAAGATGGATACGATGGTTTTGATTTTGTAACATATGCTTTTGTTTGTGTTTATTTTTCCTATTTTTTTTATCTTCACTTGAAAGTTATTATCACATCAACCTCCAACTGCAAGCATTCTTTTTACTATTGTCTTCAACTGCATATTTAACATTTCTGTTGCATCAATGGCTGATATAAACAGATGTTAGCCAAGATTCCCCAGGTTCAACATTACCATTTGTTGAATTTTGACCTGTGAGCTTCAATAGGCCATTTTCGTAATGTAACCAAATTTAATGCATAAGTCTTTGTGAAGTGCCTCAATACAGATCATTTTCTTCACCTGATAAGAATAATAGTATTTCAATAGACAGAATCTGAACTGCATTCATTACTTGTTGCCAGGTTGGACAACATGATGGCTTGACCTACCTAGCAACACTTAATATATGCAGTTGCATTCTGACTATTGAAATACTATTATTCCTATCAGGTGAATGAAATAATTTGTATTGAGCCACTTCACAAAGACTTATGCATTAATTTGGTTACATTACGAAAATGGCCTATTGTTTGGAATGCATCTTCCATTTTCCATTGTGCATCATCAACAAATATTTCTTTTGTAGTTTAAGTTGCGCATTCCCCCCCCCCCCCCCCACCAAATCTGGCATACCTTCAATACATAACAAACACAAAAAAGAATATGTCCCATAATTGTCCCACCCCCCCCCCCCCCCCCCCCCCCCCCCCCTCAACGTCACTTACACCCAGTGTTGGGTTTAACTGAACCAGTGGAATAGGGACCTGAGAGAGAATGCCCATTAATTTGGTTTCAGCAGTTAAAACTATCTGCTAGAAATTACTTTATTACCAGCCTACATATACTTGACTGATCTCTGAGAAGTGACTTCCGGTAACTTATGTTTTTAAGTAGCCCAAACATTGTGGAGCAGTGTGTGTGCATGCAGCGCTATGTAACCACATGGAAAAGGCGCTATATCTTTTGGATTGGATTGGAAAAAATCAGAAAAAATCAGAAAAAAGCAATTACAAGGACACACTTCATTATCTTCATAGCAATTACGAGACAAAGAACATTGCAATAATGATCTAGCTCTAGTTGATTATCATTTAAACCCCATGGATTAGTTACACATCAAAGATTACACTCAGGAAAAAACCATAAAAGAGATAAACAATTTTTTGCCCGTTGCATTTAATTTTCCAAATGTTTTTTTATTAGCAGTTATAGATATGAAAGATTCCTAGGCATATACATTTTCACATGCTACCTCACAAACTATCAGATTCTTTTAATATAACATAAACATAATGTATTTCTCTGAAATTTTCTTTTTCTTTTTATCAATCAACACACTGAAATACTGGTCAAAGGTCACATTTATTTCTTCTAGTTAAATGTTATTTCATATTGTAACATGGAGAAGACGAATAAACATTTTAGCAGGCTACCGGTAATCTGTTTTCTTTTTCTTATAATGATTCAATAATAACTTTTCTTAGATCTATCAACACGTTGAAAGGCCCATTAAAGATCATGGGTCATTGGTTATTCAACATTACTTCATATTATTTCATGACAAAATTGAAAATGTCAACATTTCAGCAAGCACCTCTGTACAATCTATCATCATCAATAACCTTGCAAAAGTAATCAATTATATTCATTAAACACAAGCCTGATAACAAGGAAAATATACACGGGGGCTCGAAATGCCAAAAGAGCCCCTGTAAGTCATAAAAGAGCCCCCAAAAATTTGCATAGAGTTCAATGCAAAACATATTAAAGAGTGTTTTTTTCATGCAAGCAAGCTTGAAAAGTAACCCCTGAAATGTTTTTAATATTTTATCCCTGCGCTGATAAGTATACATGTACATGCTACTCCACTCTATCAAATTAATAGAGAAATGAATGCCACTAACAAAACATGATCTACAAAACAGATGGTAAAAATGTTTTGCATGTTTAGACTGCAGGAAATCTATACAAAGCCCTACAAAGAGACATTGTTAAGAACAGTCGTATGTGAAAGAGGCGTACAGACTAGAAAACAGTGTCATATAAAGAAACATATGAAGAGGTCAACTGACGCGACAGCTGGCCGATCTTCAGCGCATGCTCAAGATAAGAACCGCCAAGTTATATAACTTTGGTACAATATGTTGTGTTAAACCAGAGCAGGATATCGATTCTTAATCGAGGATCCGTTCAAAGTGATGCTCTAAGATCTTTTCGCTACATGATGTTCCATTATAGGCATTCAGACTAGAAAAACGGTAATTACTTAACATATAGCTATACGATGTTAAACTCCAGTAGTCTGAACACTGGGGGTTTGGAAGATGTTGGCACTAGGATTTGTTTTGGATTCGTTCCCTGGGTTCATTGAGTGACCCAGATTTGTAACTTCCAAAGGGAATATAAACATGTGTTGAGAAAAAAAAATGATTGATAAATGGAATAGTTGATATGCTTCCAAGTTCCTGCAAGAAATGGAATCGAGGCCACTCCAAACACAACATGGACAGTCATTAGCTGTCAAATAAAAGACATTAAACCATGACTCAGCCATGCATTACACACGTACGCTTCCTCAATGGCTTTAAAGTTACACTGCAAAATTAACCAATTTGCAAGTAATAGTCTTTTAGACTCTAGCTAAGGTGTCTTAGTCCGTTATTTTAGTCACTTGACTAGAGATGTGAAGGTTGTGGGTTAGAGCCCTAGCTCCTTTGGAAAGACATATGAATCTAAAGTTGTCACTCTCCACCCAGGTGTTAATTGGTACCTGGACGGGAGGATTTCCTGGAATGCTGTCAGTATCAGATTTGGTAGCCAGCAAAAGCTAATCAAAAATTAGATTTTAGACTCCATTGAAAGTTTGTATTTGAATAGCTGAATATCATTATCATATCACTGCATATCTATAATTACTTATATCGGTAGTTTAAAAAGTAAAAAAAAGCCACACACCTAATTCTTCTTTTAAAGGTTAAATAAAGTAGGCTCTTCGAGCAACACCAGTAGTGAATCATAAGGAAAAAACCAGCACAGGGGTAAAACTTAGAGGCATCATCCTGTGAAATATACCTTTTTTTAGCCCTCATTAAAGAGATATCTTTTTTAATGGTAAGTAAATTCTAAATTCAGTGACACCCTAGACTGTAATGAGCCATTGTCTTGGAAATGAAAAATGACATCAAAATATAGAATCATGAAATGGATTCTTTTCTTACAAGATTATTTCTAAAAAGAGATTTAAAGGAACCATTAGTTAAAAATGAATAATGACCTCTATTTGTACAAAAGGTAAAACACCAAAATGATACGTTTCCTCTCCTTTCCCTGCTCCCTTTATCTGATTTACCGTCTAATGTCTTTGACCTTTAAAACAGGAGGTCAAATCTTCCAGAAGAAAATGACATATTGCTGGTTGGATGTCTGCTCTTCTACTGTTTCAT